ACAAGTTCTAGAATGTCCGAACTTCTTTCTACGTTTGGAAATGACAGCCTCGTAATTTTTGTTTTCATGCAAGTAACGCAACGATGATCATTCTCCAATTCACATGGTGGAATAAGATCTAACTTAGACATTACATGCATCCGTTTAAAATGAACGTGACCTAATCTAGCATGCCATAAATCTGAAACATTGGAAGAGAGAACATACAAAGAAGTACTCGGTTTAGGCCTTTTGTTTGAATGGCCTTTCGGGGATTTGTTTGACCTCTTTTGGCCCCGTTTCTTCTCTTCCTCCACCACATGAACCGTAGTAGACGAAGAAACATATGTGTCTTTTTTGTCATGCATTCGAAAGTTCTCCTCAATCCGAAGATGCGACCCCAATTGCTCAAGGGTCATATCCTCCTTCCTATGTTTCAAGGAACGTTTAATGTCCTTCCAAGACGGTGGTAATTTGTCAACAATGGAAGAAACCATACTAGTTTCATCCATTTTTAACTCATGTTGAGTAAAACTACTCAAGATCCTCTGGAGCTCATGAAATTGCTCCATAACCGGTCTTACGTCCACCATCTTGTAAACGTTAAATTCGCTTACAAGAAACCTCTTACTCGAGGCATCTTCCGACATGTATTTCTCTTCCAATTTGGACCACAATTCTTTTGCAGTCTCTATATTTTGGTACACATCAAAAAGGGCATCAGACATACTGTTCAATATGTGTCCGCAACACACATAAAAAGCCACGCCCTCGAATTTTTCGAGTTTGTGAAAATCAAGAGTTAGATCTCTCACCGAAGAACCCATACCCGTCAGTCGATTTCCCTTTCCCCGTGTATCCGAAATAAGGGATAACGTTTTAGAATGTTAGAAAAACTATGAATACAGCGGGAAAGAACAACAAAATCAATGAAATCGAAATAAAAACGTAAGAACCCGGATATAATCTTCTAGGCGTGATTTCACTTTCCTAAAACGTTATTCCCTCCCCACCGAGCAAAGGAGAATCCCGAGAATACGTTTAGAGATACAAAGAAGACCAGCAACGATTGATCTGCTCCTCAAACGTTGCCCGAAACAGAAAAACCCGAGAAAGAAGATGAACAATAAAAGATGGAGAAGAAATAACAAGTTTCTTCACCAACAAGGCTCACAAATCTCTCAAAAATCAATTAGATTTCATACTCATATGTGTTCAGACGTCTAGGAATGTTTTTAACACTCCAAAAGTCAAAAGGTGCAAGGATAGAGAAGTTTTTTTCCGAACAGACACGATTTTTCGTTCATTTGAACAACTCAGAAAAATCAGGCGGGTCGCTCATTTTTCGAGCGGTCGCTAGCGGTCGCTCATTTTCCCCAGTTTTGTTCATCAGAGAAAATGAGCTACCCGCTCATTTTTCTGACCGGTCGCTCATTTTCCGAGCGGTCGCTCATTTTTTCCAGTTTTGTTTTATCGGAAAAAACGAGCCAAACGAGCCACCTTCAATATCTTCCGACTAATCTTTAACACTTAACCAATTCACGACACGTCTTTTACAAGCATTTTACTCTTCCACCACACTTGTAATACACGTGAAACAAGAATCCTTTGAGAGATTTTAAAGTCCACCAATCTACTCTAAAATAACTAACAATAGATCCTTCATTATGTATATGTATTTATATGAACAATATAAAGTTGTGAAATTTCTATGAATATATATTATATTCTAAAAGACATATTTGCTCGTGTTTAGTGAGATGAAAATTAAGAATAAATTTGGCTAGATATTCCACAACATTTACTCGCCAATATTTAAATTACCATATTTAATACATTACAACAACAACGATGATGATGATGATGATGATGATGATGATGATGATGATGATGATGATGATGATGATGATGATGATAATGATAATAATAATAATAAAAACTTTAGACTTAGATTTTGATGGTTGTAAAGAATGGCAGACAACTCTTGCACATTTCTTTAAATTATATAACACTAAGTCACTTTGCATTGTGCAACACAAATAATCCAATCGAATATTATATGTCAAGTAGACGAAAACCTTTCATTTGTGTTTGGAGATTCTTCTCTTTATCTATACATGTTTACACTCACCCACATGCATGTATGTATATAAAAAGATACATGTAAAAGTTATTATTTAACTTTTAGCTAATTATTGTTTTTAATAATAATAATATTATTATTATTATAAAGTAAGTCGGTTCAAGCCACGTACGGTTGCTTGAACTTCAAGCATCCTTTTCTTAATGAGAATTTATTCGCCAAAATGAATATATTCCTTCCAACGCTCTTTTTTCCCGAATCTAAAATTAAATTATTCATCGAATTCAACACAAATTTCAATTAGTTACAAAAAAATGCCGATTTTTCTAACAAAAAAAATCAATTCATAATACAATTTAATTTTATTATCATTACAAAATAATATCATTTTTATATGATATAAACTGATGACGAATAAGAGACCAATAAATCACATATCAATTTTTTTTTCATTACAAAATATTTCAAATTATAATGCGAATGAATCATTTTTTCATTATAAAAATATCCATTTTCTGTTTTAATTATGTTACAAGTCGATGACAATACATACAATATTGACGACGAACAAGGGACAACAATAACGGAATTTGGATCGGTAAACTTATGTTTTTTTTTAGTCGGTTCAGTTATGTGAAACCCAAACGAAATGACACCTAGTTAGAATATTTCACATAATTCACGTCTAAAGATTATGGAAACAAGTGCGCGTTCAAAGATTCAAGAATCAAACATGATCTCAAGAACTTGTTCATCTTCCAATTTCATTCATGTGATATACCAAGGGACTGAATGGATGGAATTTTTGAAATTTAATCTAAAAACCAAAAAATAACAATCAAGATTTTATAAGTTTAGTTTTCTTAAAAATTTTGAAAAACTATTTTAATGGAAAAATCAACTAAAAACCAAAAGTTTCATTTTTTTTAGATTTATAAATATTAAAAAAAATCAAAAACCAAAATCCAGAAACTCAAAATAAAAACTATATGGTCTACCACCCGTCACTGTAACATGAGCTTATTTAAGGATGTAATAAGTGCCAATGAACTTAACAAGAGAGTGTTATAGAAACTGGAGATGCTATCTCCTGTTGTTTCGGTTTCAGCTCTCGGATTCGAACCCCCACCTTCATTTTCTGTTCATATCCCCCAAGCACACGTATTTTATCTGCACATTGAGCGACGGGTATTATCATATACAGAAACAAAAACCCGGAAGCGGAAACAGAAACAAAAGTCTACCTATCCATAGTTAGTAGCTGTTGATCGATTCTCATGTTATCGAGAAAAAAAGAGAGAAGAGAAGAACCGATTCTATCTCAAGAGTCAGAGGTAGAAGATTCGGCGAATGATCAGAATGATAGGTATATATGGATGAGTGTACTTGCCTCGAGATATTCATCCATTCCATACTTGGACCCTTCCCTTCCAAGACCAGATTGTTTCACGCCCCCGAATGGAGCAACCTGCAATATAAACGATCCGTGGTTATTATATGTTCTGCAAATAATCCAGAGGCCGAGAACGAAGGTTATTGATGGGCTTGCCTCGGTAGATATGATCCCTTCGTTCACACCTACAAGCCCGTATTCAAGAGCTTCAGAGACACGCCATGTACGTTGGACATTGTTTGTAAATATGTAAGCCGCCAGTCCTGCAAATGGAACAATCAGTTTATACATCTCAGAGACCTAATTTCCGGGGAAGACTATTAGTTGCCGTTCTCTAGTAATATGTCACGAGATACAGGAAGGACAGATACAGAAACAAGAAGATTGAGTATAGAGTAAAGAAAACGATACCGGCATTCGTGTCGTTAGCAATTCTGATGGCGTCCTCCTCAGTTTTGAACCGAATAAGTGGTGCAACGGGTCCGAAAATCTCCTCCCTGAGAATGGCAAACATGTTATTTGTTTAAACCCACTGATTTAAGAAAGAAAAAAAAAGGAGCATCATATCAGGCATTGGCAACCAATGATCACATCTCAGCTAAGCCAAATTTGTACATTCATAGTGTATTTTACGCAAAGAACCCATCACGGAATTAAACTGACACGGTCAAGTTCTGGATCCTTCAATGATACAGAAACTTTCATCCTTGAATATGAAGAGAGAATGGATTGTAGTGGTATAATGATCATATATTCTTATCGTATATATAGACAGGATGATAAAGATTCGAGACAATGCTTCAAGAAGTAAAATTCTATATCACCGGAATGGTGTGATGTGATGCCATGGATCTTTAAGTACTTACTTAGACATAAGCATGTCACTCTTAACATCACCGATAACCGTAGGCTCGTAGAAAGTCATCCCTAGACTATGCCTTTTGCCTCCAAGGAGTACTTTTGCTCCCTTTATAATGATCACATCATATGAATAAGATATTCCTTAGGTGTAAGTATTTATGGGAAGCAACATATGAAATATGCCACGAAAAAAAAGAAGAGAAAATACAAACCTTTGAAACAGCATCTTGAACAAATGTTTCGACCTGCAAGTATTACCATGGAAAAAGAAAGAGGGGTGTAGTTTGAACAAATTAGAGGTTTGTAGCGACAGGAGAAAACAGAGAAAAACAAGCAAAACAAAACCCGGCGTCAGAGATAGAACATGCCTTTTGTACTGCTGCTTCGTTGATAAGTGGCCCCTGCAAGAATGTTGAAGGCACAAATAAATTGACTGAAAAAGGAACAAGTCTAAAGATTTAGATGCGTTAATATGAATTTTGATTATCGATTACCCTAAAGCATACGAACATGTACACGGTCCAACATTTTTGTAACTTTTTACGGCTCATAATCTTCTTGGACAATAACATCCCAAGGCAGAAGAAGCATACGATATAAGGTCGCCTACCTGAGTTACCCCCTCCTTAAAGCCATCTCCAACCTCCAGTTTCTGAACAGCTTCAGCAAAAGCCTCAGCAAATTTATCATAGATACCTGTGGAGAAAATTTTCAGTTAATTACAAAAGGCAAGAGCCAGAATGAATCAGTACAAGCACTCTATTTTCTTACCATCTTGTACAAGCACTCTATTTGCACAAACACAAGTCTGACCACTGTTACGGAACTTTGCTGCAAGCTACAGTAACAAATAGGAGAGCGATTGGTGCTTAGTATTGCTTGATATCCCTCTAATTAAATAAGTGAAGAAAAACACACGAATTCATAAAATCCGCGGTGCAGTGCTATGTCTTAATCTGAAAAATCAGTAACTTGGACAAATCAGCAAGAGCAACCAAATATCGGAGATAACATATTTATATCACTTCAGAAACCAAAGACTGCCAATTAAACCGGAGTAATTTCTCTTTGATGCAATTAAATTTCGTATTGGATTGATAATGGGACACAATACCGTTGACCACTATGACTTACCGTTCCTTTTACAGCAACATCCAAGTCTGCATCATCAAATACTATGGAGGGTGCATTCCCTCCAAGTTCTAGGGATACCTAGGCCATAGAGGAGAAGAAAAGGTAGCTATTATATTGAAATTTAAAAAAGAAAATTTTTGAAGAATTTGATACTCTTGATCAAGCATACCCTCTTGACAGTTGGTGCAGCACCGGCCATCAACTTCTTCCCAACTGCTGTTGATCCCGTGAATGTGATTTTTCTTACCTGGTTAAGTAGATCAGTAAAAGAAGACAATAGATAAGGTTTCATATTAATCACCACCAAATGGTAGAAAGTAAAAGCACATAAAAGAAAATATAAGCAAGGACTATTTGAGGCCAGAAAACCTGTGGACTCGAAAGTAAAGCATCCCCAATTTCAGGAGCATTTCCCATGACCACATTCACTGCACCCTAATAAGAAACATATGCAAGTATTACAAGATGAAGAGATAAGTGACAAATACAAAAGAAAGGAGAAGCATAATTAGCAGTGGTCTGCTGGTATTAGCGACTGGAAGGTAAGCTAACCAAACATAGCCTGCTGCTCAGACGGTTAAGCACAAAGCAAGAAGCATTTACCAAAAACAGCTTTCAGGTCATAATAAGTCATGCATCAATGGATTAGGTTAGCTGTGTCATATTGATAGAACATACAAAATAAACAAACCAAAAAGCCACATGATGGTACAAAATACGAAAAAATGTTCCAACCTTAAAACTTACCCAGGTCATCCTTAATAAAACATGAGAAAATCAAGTGTATTCGGATCAAAGTCACCTTCAACAAGCCAACATGACCAATAGGTAGGTTGGTATAAATATGACTATCTACATAGGCTGACAAACACAGCAGAGATGATTATTTGCTATAGTTGAAGTCCAAAAATCATAAATTACCGGAGGAACTCCAGCTTGAAGAGCTAGTTCAGCCGCAGCAAGTGCAGTAAGAGGCGTAAGTTCAGACGGTTTAACAACCACTGTACAGCCAGAAGCAAGAGCAGGGCCAACCTGACATAAGTGACAATAATCCATATTAATTTTAAAGGAAACTTCATACGTGTCATCTAGTTGGATAGTATACTATACAGGCTATTTACAGAAAAATGGTAGCTAACTGAGAAGAGAAGCCAAACACGACCTTCCGAGTAATCATGGCTAAGGGAAAGTTCCAAGGGGTGATTGCACCAACAACGCCGACAGGCTACAGAAAGGATGAGGAAAGTCAAACTGAAACAGTGAGTGTAAGTAGCACCCCCTGTTATAAATATAACTCCAAAATGGAAAATAAAGTACACGAGAAATGGAAAAAGGAATTATATGAAGTTCACAGAGATCAAGATTGAAGAAGTACTTGAAGAAACATCTTGAAATACCACTATGAGAAAAAAATATATTTCAAGAATATGTCTACTGAAGGTGGTGGATGCAGAGGAAAGCTAAACATTCCCAAAGCATAGATAGCTTCCAAATTATAGCCCAAGCATAGATAGCTTCCAAGTTATAGAGTATAGGCCACAAAGCCTCCCAACAATGCACCCTCTAAATTAAAGAGCTAAGCGTAGAGAATAGCTCAGTGAAAAAATAATAAATACCTATATGGAAATCGGAATCATGCAGCAGGATATTACACAAACCTGTTTTAGAACCAACAAACGCCGATCCGACAAAGTAGCTGGAATTATATCACCGTATACACGTTTTGCCTCCTCTGAAAAGTACTCAATGAAACTCGCTCCATATGCAATCTGTAAACCAATTCATATCCTCATAAATTCCATTGAAGAAACAATTGCCGTTTAGTTCCTAAAATATAATTTGAATTGATTACCTCCCCTATGGCTTCCTTTAGCGGTTTACCTTGCTCCAAGGTTATTAGTTGTCCAAGTTCTTCCTTGTGTGCAATCAAGAGTTCATACCTGCATAAGGAACCATAATTTCAGCAACATACAGTAGCCTTTTTGTCTTCTAAAAAGCACAAGATAAAAGCACCTTTGTTTTGCCAATCTCATAACTTCGGATATATTGAACTGGTTATGATAACACTTCTTTCTTCTCTCAATAATATAGCGTATTTTAATGGGTATTTCCTCTATTGCAATATTTGGCTGACAATACATTCCTAAAATATGTCCATGGACATTGCAAACAGGTAACAGGTCTCTGTAAACAAACATAGATGTTTCGTATTCTCATGTGCCAATTCTCAGTAACCTTGCTGCAAAGTAAGAATTTTACAGGATAAATGCTTGTACCATCTCCGTAGAATTTTGCTCCTCTCTGCAGCCGTCACTTTGCTCCAAGCTAAACAGAAGAAACATATTAAACTAAGAAATATCCTTAACCATCAATTTTTTTTGGTTTGAAGATGAATAACAGAAACAGGACAGTGGAAAGAGCTACATGAAGTCTAAAAAAAAAAAAAAAAAAAAAGAGGCTCAAATTATGCAGAAGAGAAGACTAGGGTCTCATACAAGTAAATGCTTCATAAGCAGAGGCTATAGCATCATTTGTCTCTTTTCCACCCATACATGCAACATCCGCTACAATGTCACCAGTTGCTGGATTGTTAACCTGTGCAAGGAAATGAAATCTGATTTCAATAGAAAGCATTACAAACGACAGTTCGATTGAAAGGAAGCAAGAGACAGACACATTTAGCACCTTGATTGTCTTCTTGTCATATGCATCAACCCATTTTCCTGCTATCAGACCTTGTGTTCGTAACAGACCAGAGTTCCTTAGCTTCTCAGAAATGCTTCTTGAGTCCATGCTCATCTGATAATCAATTTACCTGATCGCTAAGATGTTTGTATATAAGGCGATACCTTGGATGTGCAAAGGCAGAGTTCGGTAAGAGAGTAGAGGGCATGAAAACAAAGAAAAACATGCTAAACTCAGAAGCATTTTAGACTTCTATCCTAAAACAATACCCATGATAGCCCTTTCGCAGATTGAAAGGAATTCGATTTGATCCTTTCTAGACAATACAGGATGTCAGGAACATCATTGATTAATCAGGCCATTTCTTCATAAGCAAGCATTTTTTACTTGAAGCAAATCTTCCATGTATCTGATATGGTAGTCAAATGGGCACAGAAGAGAAAAAAAGACGCGATTTTTGCAAGTAAACCACCGAAACTCCATATTCTGTGACTTACAGTAAGCAAATACAGATCACAAACCCAAAACACAGATTTCATCTCTCTGGGAAACATATCCAATTCACATAGCTCCTGAAAATTTCGCCTCTACAAAGGGTAAGAGTAGTTAGAAAGTTCAATTCGCGTTTTCAGACATCTTCGAGCATTTCTCCAGTACACCCATCAATGCCCGTAATCACAAGAACACATGCCAAACTAATCTCATGTCAAATTCCATCACCAAACACTACGAAAACACGCTCGGACAAGATCAGTAACTCAAAAAATTCCCGTTTGCAATCCACCAGAAAGACTACAAGATCGACGGATATGAGAAAGAAGAATTCAAAGATATAATCCGTTTTCCAGCTTATGATACATCATCAGCAACCCGAAGAGTTTTTTTTTTGTGGAAAGAAATGAAACCCAAAAGATATTTCCCAATCAATCAAAGAGAGACGCGAAACAGAGATTCATAGGATTTGCCTGGCGACACTGGAAGGAGACGGAGAGCGAAGCTTGAGTGGGAACCAAACGAGACGTGATTAGCCTCCTGCAACCGCCGATGGCGGCACGAGCTGACGCGCCGACTACCATTCTTCACTCCTTGAATCTCTTTATCGATCTGATCGACGAAGACGATGAAGTTCCGAATCCGTCACTCGAGAAATCAGAAGTTTGAAGCGATAAAATAAAAAAAAAATGAAATAAAATTAGAAGGCTGCTGAAATATTATTTTTTGTCCTTTTTAATGATTCGGAAAAGTCCATCAAAATGCATGAATCTGATAAAATATACTATATAATACGCCAATTAAATACCAATGTGATAATATCACCTTTTTTCTTTACTTCACCAATTATATATTCATACATATGTATAAATGTAAATATGTACAGTACACATTCATACACATACATAAATATATATGCCCATGTAATATGTATGCATGTATGTACAAATTGATTATGCCACGTGGCATTTTGCTCTTTTCGCTGGATTGTTACTGCGGAAAATTTTCGCACTCGCTCTCTCCTCTCTCTCCCCTTGAATTGAATCCCAATTCCATGACCTCCATAAATCTCTCTCCAAAAGCTCATCTTCTCAGAGAGAATTTCTCTGTCTCGCATTTCACATCCAGATCCGAATTCCCTATCCATATGATATCCTTTTGGCCGGCATTTCTTCTCGTATTCACCAATTTATTCGCGTCATGAGTTCCAGTGCGGCGTCATCCGCCGTCGGAGGCGGCGGATTGGCGGAGTCTTCCAATGCCAAGAAGATCTCGAAGCGACCCAAATGTGATTCCTCTTCCGAATCTTCGTTGTTCTTACGATTATTTAGAGAATCATGTATGATTCCACGGAACTTGTTTGATTGTGTCGTGGGTGATTGTATTTTGATTTTCTGACTCTGTTAACATGCGCATTTTCACCAGGTACCTTTTCTCCATTGATTCATGTAATATGATAAATAGAAACTCGTTCGTGGGGTTGATCTGCTGCATCGAGCACCGTATTTCTGTTCGTGTTTTGACTGTGCACGTTATACGTGAACATTGAGCATGCGATATGCATTGGTGATCCATGCAGGGTATATTTTAGATTGGCAATATCCTTACGAGATGGCATGTTTGTATTTCTATGCATATAATTTGGATTTTGGTATGAACCAGAGATGTTGATATATCATGTCTAGTGGAAGCTCATGTGTTTGGTTGGTTCTCGGTTTGGTGTTTATTGCAAGTGTTCTTAGTTTAAGGTATGATGTCTGGTGGGTTTGGCTTTTGCTTATAGTTCTCTGAAACTGTCGAGTCTCTAATCTAATCAGGATTCGATTTGGCTATCAGCTTATCCATTCGTATTGAACCAAATTGCTTATAAAGTTATAGATTTTGTTCCATATCAGAGGATCAAGTACCGACTGGTTCAACATGGTTTTAAGCAAAGAACAACGGTTATGTGGTTCTATTTAACTTGCTATTCATGTCATGACCTTTCTGTATCCCTTATAGTTATGCTTTTTATTCGCATATGAAAGCTATAACCAAATTGACTAAAAGGAACCTGTTGTCCAAATTTGCTTTACCAGATTCAAAGTTTACTCAGCAGGAGCTCCCTGCATGCAAGCCGATTCTGACTCCAAGATGGGTAAGCATCAGTATCATGCCGCATTCTAAGGGGAATCACTTTGAGTTCATGTCAGTTAAAGAATGCATTTGCTCTTTTATCTTCTCTTTTCTTTGGGCCTATTTTGTAGGTGATTTTGACTTTTCTGATCATTGGTGTTGTCTTCATTCCATTTGGAGTGCTCTGCCTCTTTGCTTCTCAGAGTGTATGTGCATGGAGCGAATGTTTCCGACTTTGATATCTTTCTGTGTTTGTTTTCAGTCTTCACTTGTGGTTTATTTCGGATATTTTCTTTTTGCACGTGAAGGTCGTTGAAATTGTTGATTGGTATGACACAGACTGCATTCCTGAATCGTCTAGAAGCAACAAGGTCGCTTACATACAAGGTTTAGGAGAGAAGACCTGTAATAGAACTCTAACGGTAAGGATCACCTTTCATGGAACTTTGGTTCTTCCTTGTATGGTAGTATTCTGTAGTCTCCCCAAGATATGAACTTTTCACGCAAGCCCCTTCTTGTTTTGATAGGTGACAAAAACTATGAAGCATCCTGTCTATGTATACTACCAGCTTGAGAACTTCTACCAAAATCATAGGAGGTAGACTGCTTCTGTCACTGTTATATGATTGATCCTGGATCAAGTAAATGCTCTCCATCAGTGTCTGACGCACTTTATCTCCATATTCAGGGAATTTGGTTGTTAGAAATGATTTGTGGTCACTGTGCCCTACAATAAAACCTGGTTTCTGTCGTGAATTGATTCATGATAATCTTGATCAGGAATAAACTATTACAGTTCCAAAAAAGGCTAAAAAGCGATTTGTAGAATTATTATTTGTATAAGAAAATGTTAGAATTTTCAAGGTGAGATGTGTTTAGTGTGACCACTGCATATTATTTGTGCTTGAGAAGTGTTTTTCCATTGTTCACTTCAATGCCAGTAAACGATTCCTGGGCAGTTCTACCCAACCATGAAGTTCTCTAATTCAAAATGAGTTCTATCAAGATCCTCTTTGATTGGCTATCTTTCAGGTATGTGAAGAGTCGAAGTGATGCACAATTGAGAGACCCTAAGCATGCAAATGATGTGAGCTCCTGCTCACCCGAAGATATTGTTGCCGGGGAACCAATCGTACCCTGCGGTTTAGTTGCTTGGAGTTTATTCAATGACACTTATGACTTCTCCAGAAACGACCAACAACTTCCCGTGAATAAGAAAGGAATCTCGTGGAAGAGTGATCGGGAAAAGAAGTTTGGCAAAAACGTCTTCCCTAAAAACTTTCAGGAAGGATCTCTTATAGGCGGAGGAAGTCTTAATCCACAAACACCAGTAAGCCTTAATTTACTCTCTGTTTTGATCTATTAATTGACAATTCACATTCGTAAATGTACATTCTCCATTCATGTTAACATAGTTGCCTTTTGTGGGACTCAGTTACTTTCCATAGCGGGTTAATGCGCAATGGCACATAGCTACTCTTGTAACTAGACACTTTTGTATCTTTCGTGGTATCTGTTCACTTGCTAGTTGCATGAATTGATAGTATCCCTTGTTACAACTTACAATAGTAACCCAAAGTTAAAATCTTTTATGCCGGGGTAGAATTTCTACCGTAGAAAAGGGCAAATCTTTTTTTTTTCTATGTAATAACTTGCAAAACTTTGAACATGAGCTGTTCAGGAATCAGAATGCAGGAATCTTTTAGCGTGCTTCACGTTTCCACCTTATCTCATGTTTTGAAACAGAGCTTCTGGAGCTGATTCATATGAAGCATTCTCATGAACACAGAAGCAGACATATAACACTATCTGAATTTCTTTTGTCTAACAGTTGAGCGAGCAAGAAGACCTCATTGTCTGGATGAGAACTGCTGCTCTGCCAACGTTTAGAAAGCTGTACGGGAAGATAGACATGGACCTTCAGGCGGGCGATACCTTGAGAGTATTGTTAAAGAACAACTACAACACTTACAGCTTTAACGGGAAGAAGAAGCTCGTGTTATCCACGACTAGCTGGCTCGGCGGAAAGAACGACTTCCTCGGGATCGCTTATCTGACCATCGGCAGCATCTGCTTATTCTTGGCCCTTGCATTCTCTGTCTTGTATCTGGTTAAGCCGAGGTACATAATCTCCACACTTTCTCAGCTTTCACTCATAGCACGTTACCGAGTCATCGAAGGTTCCATGATCTAGAGATCAAATGGCAGTTAAAGTCATCGGTTTCGGCCTTGGATTTATATAGTGCATATAGTTTTCGGGGTATTGCATATGCCATGAGAGTTTTATCTAGTGTGCAAATTTGGGGTAGGCACGGGACAAGTATCCGAATTTTCAGGCATACTGGAACTCGATCTCGTCTTCATAGGGTTTTTCGACCAAACTATCCGATCTCAACCTCGTGAGCATCAGGTCTCCGCGGAGTTTCGTTAATTGACTATCGAAACCCGAATTTGTACCCATAGCTTGGATTCCTGATGCTCCGGAGCTGCGAGTGTCCAAATTTTGGGTCCAGAGGACGGATACCCGTTTGGGTATCGACGTCCAGCCCTAACTTCTGCATCCATTGTACGATGGTCACTTTAACCTCCTCCACATTTCGCATGGAACAGATGTAGGGTATACATAGCGTGTTTAGATACGATGAATACCATCTAATCGGGCTTTTCTTTTCTTCTTTTTTTCTGGGTTTCAGACAACTTGGAGATCCGTCGTACCTGTCGTGGAACAGAAGTGCGGGAGGTGGACGATGAAACCCCGTATCAAAGAGACAACTATAACTACCTTATTGATCATTAAGACATTTTTGAGTAATCTAATATTAGCTACCGGATTGTTCATATCGTCTTCCAGGTTTATCCGATTAAAATTCGGTTTTTGTTAAGAATAATTGTTCATTTTATAAATAAATTTTCGTTTTCGTTCGAATTTACTGTTCATATATGTTTATGCTTCATTTTTTCGATTTTATAATTTTCTAAGAGCGTGCACAGCAATGTTTGTATTCCTTTCTATTATTAAAAGATGGATTTCAGTTGGTCCACGGTATTATTTTTATTTCGTATTTGATTTACAAAGAAAGATTCTCACGAATTATACCGCACTAAATACAGCCCAATTAAAAGGATCTATATGGGCTTGGGCTCGCTTACATATGGAATCCAAACACATCCGAAAAATCAATTGGAAACTAGGGGTTATAATTGTAAATTTACGCTCCCAATTTCAAATACCCAAGGAGCGGCCTCTCTGTCTTAGCTTTTGGAAGATCGCAACGGTAATTTTCCTCTCACATCTCTCTCTCTCTCTTTGAAGACCGAATACTGGTTTTGATCCGAAGGAGGAAGATTCGAAGAAATGGCGTTCGGGAAGGTAATTTTCTGAGGAAGCCCTAATTTCTTCAAGGACGTGAGTACGTATCGTACCATGGGTACATGATTTTACCGAGAAGTTGGAAGTTGTTCTTTATCTTTCTTCTTTCGAGTCTTCCCAAGAGTTAGGGTTTTTATTCATGTCAGATGGGAGTTGAGTGAGTACCTATACGCCCATAATCTTCTGGATTCTGGTCTGCATCGAATTCTCTTGCTCGATCTACATGAAGAATTTAAGTTTAAAGATTTTGAATCACGCACGTATACAGAAGATTAGGGTTTCCGCTTCTTCATTTTTTGGTGCTTTGATAATGGAATACACGCCTCAGATCTGTTGATACGGAGTAGTTGTCTTGTGTTATTGATTGATATGGCCTTTAGAAATGGATGGAAGATGAAATAGAGAAAACTGAAATTAGGATAATGGATAATAAATTATTTGAATGCGATATGTTTTGCTTCTCCATTTGTTGATCGTGTTTCCTTTATTCTGGATTTCTCTCTTTATAGGCACCTCGCATGACTCAAGATAATCATGGTAAGAGCATTTTCCTCCATTTGTCGATCATGTTGCCATGTTTAACAATATCTTGCCCTTTGGATATTTCTTAAAATACCTAACACTGGAACAGCGCATACAAGAAGTTTTAGAGTTTACTCTGATTGTGAGAAAACTGACCAGGCGTGTTCAATGTAAGTGTGTACCTGTCTCGGTTTTCTAATATTTCCTTTTTGGTTTATCTCATAATCATTGTGCATTATTCATGCAGGGTAACTGCCCAGAAAAGTGGCATCCCTGTGAGGTTTGTAACATTGTTTTTCAGAACTTGCGAAAAAAAATTAGTAGTTTTGTGGGCTCAAAACACCTGTGGGATTTGGTGCTTGCACTTCTTTTTTATGATTTTGACCGTTGATTAATCCATTGTAAGGAAATATTTCTCATCAATCCTTAGGGCAATTATCTATCTTTACCCCATTTTATCATAAAATTATTAGGTCCTTGACTCTAGGTGGTATGATTATCTCCCGTTGATCATTTCATGAACTGTTAATCTTTCTCTTCGCCTAGGAGTAGGAGGAAATCTGTGAGAACTAGCACTGGGTCAACTTCCAGCACCAAAAATATGAAGGTCACTACCTTAGCTTTTTTCTCATTTCTTGAGCCTTGATTGCTAATTCAGTTCTTTAGTTTTTAAATGTACTTATCTTTGGTTGATGAAAAAGAAGGAAATTCATGGAATTAAGGTCAAAGGAAAAAGCCACTGTGACAGCTCTGGTAAGACTAAGACTGAGATTTTCATGTTGCACAAAGAAAATATAGATTTTCATTGGATTTCAGGCTGGGTTTGGAATGTTTACATAAAATTTTGTATTCCTTTCCAGAAGATACTAAGGTGAGAAGAAAAGCGTTGGCGGATTTGAGTAACGTCGCTAGTAACACTTCAAGGAGTAAAGCCCTTGGTGACAGCATTACGATGTATATTTGCTTACTATTTCTCTTCAGCCTTTTTCTTCCCTGTCATAACTTCAGTTAGGAGTAGAGTAACGAACTTTGCATATTTCTAGTTCTCCACCTGAGGATCATTTGTCAACTGTCTTGATATATGCAGTAAATAGTTAGCATAGTTTCCTAGTTAGAATTTTCATATACTGATTCGTCCTTGTAAATCTTTTAATACATCTGTAACAATGCAGGAAGCATAAGCGGGTTAAAAGTGCAATTTTGCAAAGGTGAGCAGTATCTTTTAGCTGCTGCTATAGATTTAATAAAACTGTAGTAGCTTACACTCCTGATTTTTGATAAAATAATCCTTAGCATTATGCATATTCATCTGACTAAACAGACTTAGAGCTGGAGCCTTAGTTTTTTCTTGGTTCTAGTTGTCACTGGATAGCCCATTTACCTTCTCTTTCTCTTTCTCTCTCTCTCTCTCTCTCTCTCTCTCTCTCTCTCTCTCTCTCTCTCTCTCTGTGCTAGTTCCTGGATTATAGGGCATAATCTCTTAGACCGATAGTTGATAATTTTGATGCCCCAGTTAAAAGGATAATTCATGGTCTGTCTTTGTTGTTTGTGACCACTAGACAGGATATTGCAACAAGATGATTCCTGGTGTCCTTAGTAAGTATACTGATTATTGCAACTAATGATGCCATGTTAACTCTTCTTTCCAACTGTAGGATGTCAGTGGGTTCTTTCAAAGTTCAGGATACTTCATCAAGAAAATCTACTGAGGTACAATTGCCCTTCTCTCAGAACTTGCTGTCCTAACACTATATTCTTTGAAGTTAACCAAGATTTTGAAATTAGAAGATCAATCTGAATACTCTAATGAAGGGTGTCTTTGGGGCTTTAAAAGCAGATAACTGAGTTCGTCTATTTATAAAATTGTCGACATGTGAACTGAAGCAAGATTTTGAAAGTCTCGGACTCTCGTCAATAAAGCTTTAGACTATCATGCAGAATATTCGGCCTACTTGTTATATAGAATAATTACATCATCATTCAATAAATAACTAAGTCTTATATTTATTTTTGCTTGTGATATAGGGAAAAGTGAGGGGAAAGCCAACTCAGGTATTTGGTGACAGACAAATCTATAGGACAGGTGACTTTCTAAATATAAGATTTTTCTACATTTTGTTGCATCTCTTGGACGTCAGCTCGTATTTACTGTTATCGATACTCCAGAGGCTGGGGATAGAAGTCATCAATTGATCAAAAGCAAGAATCTGAGCCTTGCATCTGCTACCGATGCAACAAGGTATATGTGTGTCATTCTCATGCCTGTTAGCACTATCACTTATGTAAATATGTAGTAGAAAAGATTTCCTTTCATGCTGACATTTTTGTCATTATGAAGGCACGTAGATCAAGTAACACAATTTGTACATTCAGCACAGCGGAAAAATTTCGTATTCCTGTTAGATTAGGGTTACCTCAAACATTGTTCTATCTATCTGTTGTGATTACTTTCTAGACCTTCTATTGAATTGCTTTCTCCTTGAAGGAAATCCTTTCCAAGCTTAAAGAGGACAAGCCTGACAAACAAGAGCAGTCTAAAGAAGGTTGTTGTCATTGTGCTTGCATCTCTGAAATGTCATAACAATAATGCTTTGGTATATTTGTCTTCCTTGGATGTGGTTCCTACCTGCGCTCACGTTGAATGTCTGTTGCGCAGGACAATCGTTCAAGCTTTGAAGCTAAAGGGCTGTGTGAAGGTCTGGAGGATATGTGATTTTTTTCTTTTGTTGTTTAACAAAAAGATGTATGCTAAAACTGAGTCCTAAATATCACAGTTTCTGATTAGAATGCAATTGTTTCCTTTCAGCCAGCAAAGTCAGCAAGAAAGTTATCCCTCAAGGGAGCAGTGCCAGAAGCAATCTTTTAAAGAATCGGACTAGTGATGGTTTCGTACAATCGTAAGTAAAAGATATACTTGTTTCTGTTTATTTATGAAACTTTGGTTGCAAGCCATTGACTTTGGTCAAGTTCACAGTTTCCATTTGCATTATCAATGTAATTTTGTATGTTCTTCCTGCAATTTGAATGAGGGCCTTATTTAGATTGGTACATGACTTTCATTTTGGCATGAAATATACTAGGTGCTTAACCACTTGTAGATAGCTTCTGAATGTTTTCTCATGGTTTTAACTTGAGTACATGTCACCGTTCTGGAGTTCACACTGCTAAACTTCAATATTTTCTGTTGCCTAGGTGTGGAAACAGCCGCCGAAAAAATATTGTTCATCCTATACAAAGAAAATCTACCATGGTATTTTCCTGTTTTTTGTCCCTCTTAGTCAGCTTCTAGTTAATTCGGACCATATGGCATCGAGTATCAAGTTTCTTTTTCGGTTTTTAAATTTTTTTTCTATTCCATATGCAAGTGCACCATGGCAGCTGCTCTCTAGAACATACCAAATCCTGAGAAATTCGGTTCTTTCCCACTAAAGCCATTTGTGATGAAATTTGGTGATAATTTTTTTCTTGCATTGACCATCATTAGTGCTCTGCTTAATCTAGCAGTTTGGTTTTGTGATGTGTTATTGTCATTCCCAGGCTTCAGTTTCATATTTCATTTCCTATCATTTCGCACCGGAACATTTAGTGAGTAAAATTTTTGATTAGTGTTTATTATGAAAGTGATCAATCATCAACCTCTTTCTTTCATCAAAGATCCAAATGGCTGTGAAGACCACGCTCCAGACCTCACAGTCTCAAAAGAAGCCCAAATGTTTGGTGGTTAGAAGTAAATCAAGATCCATATCTTCACTCTCTTCCAAGGAAGCAGTTTCGGGGTCCTCACATCATGAGAAAGTACCTGAGAAGGTTGAACTGGAAGCTCCTGTAGAAAATACTCAGTTGGAATGTTCAGCTACTAGTACTCAGGATGTTACAGTGAGGCCAAAATCAAAGCGGAGAAGGTCTTTCACATCATTACTGGTGACAAGATCAAAGGTTTGACTCAACTAGCTTGTGCTCTCTTACCTTGTCCCCCTCTTTTTTTTCTTTAGTCATGCTAAGTACAGAAGCTTTCTTGCAGGACACTGGGGAAGACGGCCATAATTCGGCAAACCAAAAACTTCCAAAAATTGATGATGAATCCAATCAGTTGGAAGTTGCAGAATATGTAGATGACATCTATCAATTTTATTGGGTCGCAGAGGTGATTGAAACGTTATATTTATGGCCTTGCATTTCCTTTTGCGGGGTTTGCATTTGGCTTCAAATAGTTTTGCAAATTGATTCTGTGCTTTTGCCTACCTAAACTATTCTTCTGTTCCAGGCGCAAAACCCACCTTTAGGAAATTACATGGCTATTCAGTCAGAGATAACTCCGCACATGCGTGGAGTTTTGATCAACTGGCTAGTTGAAGTGAGTGAACTGATGGAAAGTTAGCCTTTACGGTCTTCTTTTTGTATTTTCCCTTCTCACAGTTTCTCTTTGCTAATCTTGTGTACTAGATCTCACTGTTACTTGTGTGCATGGTTTCAGGTGCATTTCAAGTTTGATCTAATGGCAGAGACTCTCTACCTCACAGTGAACTTGTTAGATCGTTACCTCTCCCAAGTTCCGATAAAGAAAACCGAAATGCAGTTGATTGGTCTTACCGCACTCTTGCTTGCATCAAAATATGAAGACTTCTGGCATCCAAGGGTAACCCAAACATATTATTGGTTCCGTAGAGTTTTTGAACAGATTGCTAAATATGGTATCTTCTTCCGTTTTTGTTTCAGATTAAAGATTTAATCGGCATATCAGCAGAATCCTACACCAGAGAACAAATCTTGGGAATGGTACCGCCGCTTCTTCCGTTTAATCATACTACTTATCTGCGTTGGTTGCCTAACTATTGGGTCTTCTTACTTCTTTTTTTTTTTCAGGAGAGGATTATGCTTAAACAGTTAAAGTTTCGATTGAATGCACCCACTTCCTACGTTTTCATGTTAAGGTTCCTCAAGGCTGCTCAGTCAAACCAAAAGGTACGTAACTTATGAACATAAGATTAGTTATACCTACATAATGCAGCAACTCGACTTTTTATGTAGCAGAGGTATTTCGGTTTTCGGTTTGGGTTTGGGTTTTTTAATTTAGTTTCCTGGTTTTAGAAAATTTATTATTCGGTTGCACGTTCGGTTTTTGTTGATAAAAGAGTTTATGTTCCAAACAAATTTACCGTTTTTCAATCATGTTTATATTCACTTTGCGTTCGGTTTCGGGTTTGTTTTTTCGATCTTAGATGAATCATACATGCTCGTATTTTATATCGGATTAGGTGCGGATTCGACTAACGGATGGAGGTTTTGTATAACGGAACCAAAATGCCAACCCCAGTAGTAGACATTTTGTTAGCAGAACCTGAATATTGTTTTTCTTTTCCTATCAGCTTGAACAACTCGCCTTCTACCTGATAGAGTTGAGCCTGGTCGAGTACGATGCTCTGAAATACAAGCCGTCGATGTTATGTGCCTCGGCCATCTACGTGGCACGGTGCACCTTGCGCATGGCTCCATCTTGGACTCCACTACTAATCAAACACGCACGCTACGACGTCCCTGAAATGAGGTAATTCTTGGATTGAATTCTAATATCCGTCCTACAATTCAATCAACCAACTTAGCAAATCTCTTCGTGCAGGGATTGCGCTGAAATGATCTTAAGGTCCCATAAAGCTGCAAAAACAGGAAAACTGAGGGTGACATATGAGAAGTACATGAATCCTGATCGTTTTAACGTTGCGGTCTTGAAACCATTGGATAAGCTCTCTCAACTCTGACCGCACGAAAAGTGTTTTGTTACCTGTAGATATAACCCCCCCACCAGCTATGGAGGCCAGAGTCCAAGAAAGGTATGCGTGTTTTCAAGTCATACATAGACTCCATCAAACTGTGGAACCTTCTTCATCTAATCTTCAAACTTTGCAGGGCAGAGACATTAACATAGGATCTTTTACTTTTGGTTTTTTCCCTTGTGGCATTTCCCCCATGCCAAAAGACGAAAACACTTAGGCTTATGATTCCGCTTTGAGGTATGTGTGTGGTTTTCATGTGGGGTGTTTCAATTAGCATCTGAACTCGTGAACTACATGCTCTTATGCATCATCACCCACACTGATTATGTACAGATTCCTGGCTTTATCTCAACAGTATATGTTATTCTAGTAGTCTGATCTTTCCATCACAAGTACTGAAGAACGTAGAGAAACCAAAATGTGCTTGTATACTCTCAGGTGTCACACCTTATATGATCTTGAAAGATCCAGTTGCACATGCATATACAAGTTTCTACCCGCTAGTTCAACCACATCTACTCAACCCGTTTGCCTGCCTGTATATATGTATATATAACCACCTTCACCAAAACACTACTATATACATACATATATATACCTAAAGTGCGTTGAGGTGTGTTGCAACCCAATCCAGCAGCTACGAGCATGCGACTAAACTGTCTTGCAAAGGCATACTGCTTCTCCGGTCCAATGTCTGTCTAACTTCCTGATAGAACTCAACCCACGAAGACGAGTATGTGTCCACGGGGCCGAATAAGAATGTAGGATTGGGGCTTGCGGGGGAGGTGACCACCAAATCCAAAACAGAGACTGCAGGTTTGAGCTGTTGAGGGAAGTTGAGGACCAAGTTATCGACTCTGTGCTCGTAAATTTTGCCATTTCGATCGAGCTTGTAACGGGAAGTGCCTTGAAACTCCCCTTTTGCCTCCCATGGAACCCTAGGGATACCCCTCAGGTTCCACCTTATGAGGATCATGTTCTCTGATGGTTGCCACACTCTCAATATCTCCAGGGAAATCTCTCTGAACAATACCCTCCCATGAAATCTAAGTGCCCAGAAGATCAACTTGTAGTTCTCAATCCCCGTGAATGTGTTCAGTGGATCCGCAAATGTTATGTCATCCCTAAGAAGTAAGTACAAAACACGTTGAAAGACACATCGTTTAAGGATGAAAGGTCCAGAATTTTCCCGAGAAACAAACAGATATGGCAGGAAAACCAAGAAAAAGCAATGCCCAGATGATGGATTCCTAAGATTCGACAGAACAGAAGGGAAAATCCAAGGAGGAGCAACCTTTGTCTACAGAAACTGAATTTTCCAATGGAAACAAACAGGAAAAAAAAAAAAACAGGAGATGCTGAGATGAGAGAAACACCTGTAGATGTCGTAATTGAGATCCTTGGTGAAGATCAAAGGCAAATCCTCGCGGAGCGTCCGTACAGCGACTCCAAGGTTAACGTAGAACTCGTCTCTGCTATGGTGGTACTTATCCTGCGCACTGGGCTTCGTGCTAACCTGCGCGGCTTGAAGAGGAGGAGGAGCCTGAACGCTAGAGAGAGAGAGTACAGAGAAGCTTTCCACATCAAAATCGAGGCAAGTGGATGAAGACGACGACGAAGAAGATGATGGAGGTTGATTGAATATGGGTTTTTCTTTGAGGGGTTTTCCGGTCTGGAGAAGAAGGGGAGGAGATAGATTTGGCAGAAGAAACGCCATAACCAATTGCGCAGTTGGATTCGAAGCTTTTCCTCTCTCTCTCTCTCTCTCTTTTTTGGCTCCCTTAGTTTTCCATGGCGAAGAAGAGGAGGAGAATGTCTGGAGAGGGACGCGAGTTTGTGAGGCAAACATGCTCTTCATTAAATTAGTGGTTTTAAACTTATCCTTTTTTATTTTTATTTTTTATTTTTCTTTAGACTATTAATGTCTTTTATTATGTGAATTATAAATGTCCTTTATATCCTAATTACCAAATGAGGGTATTACGGAAGTCCAAAAAATCCGAGTTGGATGAACTCAAATTTTCTACTAAAAAAAATATTAGAATGTTTCTTTGTATATTTTTATTTCTAAAAATACAAACTGTAGTGACTATTTCAAATTTCAGTTCGATTTTGAATTATGTTATTTCGAGTTCGATTTATTGGATTATAAAAAAAATAAAACGAACAATTATATAATTTAAATCGGTTCGATTCAATTTTAGAACGGTTTGATTCGATTTTAGCAAAATAAGATTATAAACGACATGTTTAAAACGGCACGGTTACGAACAAATAATAATAATATAAAGAAAAAATTACAAACATACAAACTTTGCTATGTTTTCTTTTTCATTTAGTAATTAACAAATAAAGATGTAATAAATTTATATAGTCAAAATACAAAATATTATCCTGTTAATCTTTATTTTATTTTTATTCCTTTGATAATATTCCAAATTCTATAAAAATAAATAAATTATGAAATATTTTTTTTTTAAATAACGAGGATGGTTCCCGACCTTCGACCCGACTACATCCATTCTAGGGACCAACTTTTGTATATGGACCATTTTAATCCAGAAATTACATCCTCTCCACTAGTGGAATCGAAACCCATGATCTCGATGATGATTGTCACCTCTCAACTGGCTACCAAATGTTGGGTCAAATTATGAAATAGTTATCTATAGAACATACATTCTACCAAGACACGATCTCGACAATGGCAAGATAAACAGATAAAACTGTGAGAACACATCGGACCAACAATAAATGTCACCATGAAATGAGATTATTTAATCTCAAATTCAATATCACCCACGATATCGTGGTCTCGGACTCGGCATACATACACCGAGTTGTTCATTTTATTAACATATATTAGAGTTCGATACCATTAAATCTGTCTACAGACAAATCCATCGTACCCCATTTCATCTTCTGTAGATTCAGTTAGCTTATCAAATGTGAAGATAGACTAGATAAGTTAATCATAATCGATCCGATTACAGGAAAAATTATAAACCCAGAAAAGATCAAGTGTAAGGGAATCTGAATGCACAAAGGACTGAAGAAGAGCCCAAGTGCCAGAATCTCATCCCTCATTGATGTCGGCAACGTACAGCGCTGAAAACGCTATTGATTCTAAGCGCATCAGAGACTCTAATTTATTGCCTTCCAACGATGAACACTGTAATCCCCGAAAAAAACAGACAACCACCAAGGGGAAAAAAAAGAGGAGAATATCGATCTAAGGGGTCAGGTAGAGAATTATTTATGCATCAGCGAGCACAGAACCTCTCATGGTTTGATGATCTTCTTGCAAAAATCATCACAGCCCCGGGAATTCTACAACAACAAAAATTTCGCAGAAAAGAAACGAATCTGGGGAAAAACGAAACCAGAATCAAATCGATATAACAAAAACAAACGGAGTAAGATCGGAGATTGCAGGAGGGCCTCAGGAACTAAAGGTAACGAAGTATACATCAACGAGATGTGAAAATCTCAGATGGTACGGACAAATTACACGCATCACTGGCCACGATCTATAAAAAACAAAAATCTGCAAGAGATAAAAGAATGTAAATGGAAGAAAGACGAACAAACTAATTTACGAGAGAAGCAGGAGAAGCCGAGAGGAGAGGGAGTGAAGAAGCGGAGGATTAAATAGTGGAAGGGGGTTGATGTTAGAAACAAATACAAAAAAAAAAAACCCTAGTGCCTCGGCCGAAGCAGACCCGAAAAATACCAAAATGAGGCCGTCTCATTCTGTAAGGGCAGTTTTATTATCTGTAAATGGGTCGTCAGATTGGGCCTGGGCTTTACTAAACCCAATGGTTCGAGACCTAGAGCAGAGGTCACACACTAAAAGAGATAAGCTGCTAACCTCTCCTCCAATTGAGCGTTTCAGGAACTCAACATCCAAGAAATCTAATACCCCATTTAATCTGTAAATTGGATATCCAATTTTGATACCAATCCATCCACATGACAAGGATTAAGATTCCCTTGCTTCCGATATATATATATATATAAGATGCGGAAAAAAAAAACCGAAATCTAACAATAAATCAAAATAATAAAAAGAAAATATCAAAACAAAATTTCTTCCACCAAGTCTGGGCTTATGTTTTTTGTTCCTTTTACCCGTTTTAGACTTTAGTACAACAAATTCTTTTCCATTATTGAGAGAAGTCGCATGGTATTTAACCATGTCTACATATCTATAGATAGATCCCATACCAGGAGCAAGAAACCCATTACTCAAAACACCAAACCAAAAAAGCTACCACCTAAAGAAACCCGAACAAACCTCATACGGTATTTTATATTTATGGCCAGGCAGAGAGCTTGTCGGCTTCTGTGGCAATAACCAGCGCCTCTGACGGAGTTTCAGCGGCTCGCAGCTACCAACGCCATGTGCTCTATGAGGTCAAGCACTCGGTTACTGCAAAACAAAAGCAGACGAGATATTTTCATTAGCAACGAGAATCATTGCATAAGCACATTCTCGGACACTGCAAAAAGATGGAGAGAGATTGGGACGGTCTGTACCTGTAACCCCATTCGTTGTCGTACCAAGAGACAAGCTTCATGAAGGATTTGCTCAATCCAATTCCAGCCTTGGCATCGAATATACTTGACCTGCATCATTATTATTATTCACAAGGTCGCATTAAAGACCTATTATAATACATTCTTACAGTTGGAGACTACATGATATAGAAAGAGACCTTGAATCACCGACGAAATCATTGGACACAACATCCTCGTCTGTGTACCCGAGAATACCCCTCAGTGGCCCTTCTGAGGCAAACCTAAACAAACACATCCACCGCCGGCGTAGTTAAGTTCGATTATATGTTAAAACTTCAGGGGATGAATAATGGAACGAAGGCGAGGTTAGCCAGTTGGAGCAAAAGCTTACTTTATGGCCGCCTTAACGTCTTCATAAGAGGCGCCCTTCTCAAGTCGACAAGTTAAATCCACGACAGACACATTGGGTGTTGGGACACGGAAAGCCATTCCCGTAAGTTTTCCGTTGAGTTCCGGAAGAACCTTACCGACAGCCTATTTGTCGACACCAAATCAAGGCTGAGATTATGATTCCACATTTAATACCCGAGGCAACTCAGGCCATTATATATACCTTTGCAGCACCAGTTGAGCTAGGGATGATGTTTTGACTAGCACCACGGCCTCCTCTCCAGTCCTTCATTGATGGACCATCCACAGTTTTCTGTGTAGCTGAATATAGGGAAACAATACAGAGAAAACAGAATATTCAGTGTTACAAATCCAATGATATGCAGTGAAAAAGAAAGATAAACGAGGGAGAAGAGACCTGTAGTTGCATGGACAGTTGTCATCAAACCTTCAAGAATACCGAATTCCTCATGCACCACCTGCCATAAGCAAGTAAAGAGGAGGAATCAGATTATTTTGCCATAGCTAAGAAATTAACAAGGAGTGACATAATGGCAAAATTTTCATACACGAGATACAAGATTATTTTGCATGTTACAAACCTTGGCAAGAGGTGCAAGACAATTGGTGGTACAGCTTGCATTGGAAACTATATCCATGTTTGGCTGGTATGTCTTCTCATTCACACCTACCACGAACATGGGCGCGTCAGCTGAAGGGGCAGAAATGACCACTTTCTTAGCACCACCCTGCAAAAAAACACAAAATTAAACAGATATATGCAATCTGTATCCAAGAATCAAGTTCAGACTCAAATGTATAGAAGCGGGGAATTGAAGTGCATACCTTCAAATGTGCTGAAGCCTTTGTCATGGTTGTAAAAACCCCAGAAGATTCGACAACATACTCAGCTCCAAGATCAGCCCATGGGATCTCAGCTGGGTCCCTGAGTTAGAATCAACTAGATGTTAGGTTCGGTATATAGACAATTTTGTTCTCAAAGCAACACAAGCCAAAATGCCATGTAATTTGTAGTTTGATATGGTAATGGAAAGATAAAGGAGTAGACAATTTGAGGCAATACCTTTTACTGACAATTTTCACATTCTTCCCATTGATCTCCAAAGTAGAGTCATCCATTACTTTGATGGTTCCCTTGAAAACTCCATGAGTAGAATCATATTTAAGCATGTAAGCCTACAAAAGAAGAAGAAAAGATATGTGCCAAGCTTGATAATCGAATGTCATATGGCCATAGACAGAAGAAAAAGCATCTCATGCTTGATTCATGGTCGCTTCTAATTGAACCAGGTTAAGGAGTTGAGAAAGTGGCTACAAACAAGAACCATCGGATAAAGATCAGAGTATAAACACCCTTTACTCAAACTTGACTACACATCATATTAACAACTAGCAATATTGGGCAGAGACAGACACCAGCTAGAACACATTCTTACCATGTACTTGGCATCAATGAATGGGTCATTAACTGCTACAACATCAATATCATCCCTGGAGGTTGCAATACGAAGGACCAACCTTCCAATCCGACCAAAACCTGCGGTACATACAGCAAGCAAACTTCTGTAAGAGAACAAAATGTACAAGACTGATATTATCAGAAGGAACAGATGCATAGACATATATGGCTTGGTTTTTGACGACACAGTGAATCCACCTACTGTGTGAGAGGATAAAAATACATACCATTGATCCCAATCTTTGTCTTTCCGCTGCTACCCGACCCTAATCAAGTCAATCAATTCACGCTGGATAAGCACACAACACCAAATACCACAATTAAGATTTATATAAGACTTTGCTCTTACTCTGAACTGCAGGTGGAACTTCTGTGGCAGTGGCCTTGATGGGTTGCATACTTCTTAAATTGCATTTTCTGCAAAAGACACATAAAACCCTCTTCAGAACTGAAGCAACAAGAGTAATAAATAATTAGCATGTATTACAGAATTTGTTTGTCACTGAACTGCAGAGTTGAAGATGATCCAACAGAAGCAGCTGCAACAGAGAAGCTTGATGAGGTAAGATTACGATTGAACCCAAGGCATGATGACACCTGAAAAGTTGAGGAAACAACAAAATTTTCTTAAGACGTTTTTACAAATAATTTAGAATCCAAGGGCGGTAATTCCTCGTCTCAAATCCAGACGAACAATAGAAGCCTGAAAAAACAATTCTCAAATAAAACAGACAACGTAGTCACCCTATAAACAAAAAAAATGATCCTGACAAGTCTCTAGACGTACAATTCCCTTCACAATCAAACGGTGACTATCATCTCTAAGATCATCGCCACATATGACAGATAAATATCATCTAGCAAACACAGATTCAAAATCTTAACGACTCCCTCGATAAACTCATGCCACCATTACACCATTCAAACTCAGCATTTCAGCGACAGCACAGAGAGCTTGTGTCACAAAACTCATGCCAAAGATAAAGAAGAGACATCTCCGACCAACTCCATTGACGAACAAATCGAAGACGACGCATGAAAACAAAATCCAAGCGGATCAAAACGCAACAAAATCCAGAGCGAACCGAAACCAGAACAAAGCGAAAGACGATAAGCTAAGGCAAGCATTCAAACACCGACGAGACGAAGCATCGTCATACCTTGAAATGATCAGAAGACGGCGAAGAGAAGAAGTCCACACGAGGCGCGGCGGCGACGGCGGCGGCGGTTTAGAAAATGATTTTCTAACGTTCAAACCCATAATGGTCGGTCCATGGCGGTCACCTCCCGTTTATTTCACGCCAAATACTTCATTTACTTTTTAGACACTTTCTAATTCATGGTTGACATAAATTAGTTCCAAAATATTTAAACATTCACTTCCACGAGGGATATTAATATTAGGTTATACTACTGGGCCAAATAATCTAAGAAATTTTATTCGAATTATTTAAATATTTTTATATATCATCTCAAGTAAGTAAAAATGCATATTCTATTTTCGATTGAATTTATCTTTTATGAAAAATATTTGATTTCCAATAACATTCTCATTTATAATTGTATTCAAATGATGTTTACGTTCAATTTATTATATATTTTCATAGTATACATTTTTAAAAATAGTTTTATATAGGTTAACGTAAAGACAATTTTTATGAATTCAATAGTCAGAGAAAAAAAAAGGTTTGGAAGATGTGTGTAGAGTAATGAGGTCGGCGGCCGCTATCGGCCAGAAATCGAGGTATTGCTTCCAGCGTCGTGACGACTATCTGGACCAACAAAAACAGGACAAGAGACTCGAAAACCCTAAAACCCCGTCGGCTGTGACGTCTGGGAGTAGGTGTACCAAGAAATGAGAAGATTCCCAGAAAATGTCCGCAGAGTTTCTTCCTTTTGTAATTGCACCTCTTTTTTAATATGCAGAGATTTTGAGGAATATAAATAGATGCCGATGGCTGCTGCTGGTATAAAATATTTAGGGCTAGATCAGGTGAGCCACGGCCCATCGTAACTATCGTGAAGATCGTTATTTATGGGCATTGTTACAACAAAGGAAATAACGAAAGTATCTCCTGTTAATGTTTTTTATATGGAAAAAAATTACGTCTGTGTTATCTCCTGATCATCATGTTAAAGTCCCAAAAAAAGTAATTTTGCTTATTTATCTTAATTTTTAAAAAAAATTTAGATTTTCAAAAGGCTGAGAATATAAAATGTTTCATATTGTATTCGTTGGCACGGACGTGGAGACGATCGTACTGGATCCGAGCCCAGGCCCGCATCCCAATGATTTGAATGAACGTTGACATGTGAACGATTTGTCGTGTAGTGCCGATCGGTTGGGAAAGCCCAAAAGCGACGCTTGGATATGCCACGTCAGACGGACCTGGCCCAATTTCAAAGCCCTTTTTACCTTTTTGACGCTGAAGGCTTAAATTGACCGAACTAATTAGGAGTCTCAAGAAGAATGATGTAATGTAATTAGATATCAACGCTAATTAGATCTTGAAATAAATTATCTGGAAATATTGGAACCCAATGGAGGTTTTAATTGAGATCTAGTGAAAATTTGGATTCGTGAGTTATTAATTACCGAAATAAACATGAGCTGCGGAGCAAAGCAACTAATTTTCACCCACACGCCGGAAAATGACGTCATCATTTATATTAGCTTCGCCAGCGGGAATATCCGGCCAGATACTGAGCCGACACCTCGAGGTGCCACGTGTCATATTCGAAACAGCCGTTTGAATGTCCTAATCAAAGAAAATATGCAGCAAAATGTGTTAATAAAAGTCGAAAGCAACATAAAGAAAATCTCACATGAATAATCAGCGAGGACTTTATTTCTGTAGAGATTTATCATCATCATCATCATCATCATCATCTCCTCTTTCAATTATTATTCTCAAGAACACCCAAAAGAAAAAAAAAAGGAATCATCTCACAGAACAGAACAAATTTAGTGTACAAAAAAAGGTCCTGCACCTGCAACACTTAATCTTCATAATCATCACCATCACCACACCTGTGTTACATTACATCTCCCTGCTCGGCTTTGATCTCTTCCCATGGAGCCTCAGTTAACAACAATCATCCTCTTCGGTTGGGGATTCCCTGTCTTCTTTACCAAATGACATGAACAGCATTTCGAAATCTCCTTCTCTGCTAGTCATTTTCTTGACCCCGACCCGTCAATGGAGGCAAGTCCTGCAAACCCTTTTGTCTCAATCCGAGGACCTACCTTATCCGGGCGATGCATTCTCCATTTCCGCCGTGTCCTCATGACCATACGAGGCATGTGACTTGACCCTCTTACCCCTACAATCGAGCCAAACCTGCCTGGTCCTAGCTCGGATCATCGACTTCACATCATAACCTGCTACTCTCATTCTGTTCATTAGTTCAAAAGCCAACTCCTTTTTGTCTTCACAGAGTAGGAGAGACCTGAGGAGGTAATCACATACTCTGGGCATTAGCTTGAATCCATTCTCTAGAGTGTATGAGAACACTTCTACTGCAGTGTCAAGCTCGCCTCTTTTGCAGAGGCCATGAATCAACTTGACACAGCTCGGGGCCGTGACAATGATCTTCCTCTCCCTCAAAAAAGAGAATACTTCCATCGCCTCTTTGAACTTCCCGGATTGGCATAACCCGATCAGCCATATTGTGTAAGGTCCTAAACCCAACTCCTTTAGTCCGATATCCAAACGGATCAACCCTTTCGCCGCTTTCTCCAAGTCCCCTTCCTCGAAACATTGCTCAATCTCTTTCACTTCTTCATCGTCCACCCTAGTTGTTTCCCTTAGGTACTTCAACCAGAGATTAAAAGCCACCGAAATCTTCTTCCTCCGGCACGACCATGTCATGAGCGACCTGTAAATCTCGGGACTCTGTATAATACCGCTGTTCTTATGGAATAACACAAAAGCATCTTCTTCTCTTCCAACTCTCTGAAGGCCATTGATGAGAGTTCCGTAAGTGACACTATCGGGGAACAACCCTTTTCCTTTGAGCTCCTGAATCAGCTTGAGGGCTCCGTCTATATTGCCGGACTTGCAGTACTCATTTATCAGAATGTTGTAAGTTACAATGTCGGGATTCCTGGTCTCGGCTAGCTGCTCCAGGATCCTGTATGCCTTGAGGATCAAACCAGATTCGCAATATTGTTCCACCATGCTGTTTATGCTGGAACGGTCATGACCCAAGTTGCCACCATACGAAAGCCGGAGAAACAATGACGGATGTTTCCCGACCTCCACCTCCATTTTATGGAACAAACGTAGAGCTTTATTTAGCTTTCTGGACTTGCACAACCCGTCTATCAGAGCATTGAACGTGAAAACTGAAGGGTGACAACCTTTCTGCTCCATCTCGTTGAAAATTTCCTCAGCTTTGCTATCCAGCCCATTCCTGCACATACTGCAAATGAGAATTGTGTAAGTGCAAGCATCGGGGAAGCAGTCGTTTTCCGAGATCTCGAGCTTAAGGGACCGAGCCGCCTCCAAGAGACCAACTTCACAGAGACCCTTTATAACAGCGTTATAGCAATATGTATCCGGGACAATGCCTCTTCTTGGCATCTCATGTAACATCTCCAATGCATCCTTAGCCTGCCCGGCTTTGGATAATCCTTGAATCAATATCGTGTACAAAACAACGTCGGGTTTGATATTCTTCTCGAGCATCTTTTTGTACAAGGAATATGCCTCAGCGTATCGCTTAGCTCTGAATAGCCCATCAATCAAACTGCTATGCCCTCGTAGGTCAAGCACAAAACCATCTTTCTCAAACATCTGTAACAGTTCAAACGCCTCGTCCATCTTACCTAATTTGCAGAAGCCATCGAGCAGAGCATTGTGAGCCACGGAATCCGGGGAAGAACCCTCCTCCTCTTTCATCTTATGGAACAGCTTATGAGCTTCATCAGCTCTTTTTATCTGACACAAGCCTTGAAAGACAATGGTATAGATAACCCTATTTGGCAAAATACCTCTGTGGGTCATTTCGTCGAACATTTTGAGCGCATCATCCATCATACTTCCCTTGCGCAAAATGTCCATCATGATACTAAATGTGAACAGATTTGGGGAACAATTACACTTGAGCATGTCGTTGTATACAGCTAAAGCTAACAAAAAAACCTTCTTTTGCTTCAGCACCCGCAGAATCGCATTGTACGTGAAGACATCGGGTCTGCAATCGAATTCCTTCATCCTTCCGAACGACTCCACGGCCTTTTCTGTCATGCCCATCTTGGAATAAGCCGAGATCAGGACGAAGAAACAATACGAATTGACTGAAACGCCGCCATTTTTTAGCTCCTCCAATGTCTGCCAGTACAGATCGCACCCGTCCTCTCCAGAAAGCATGTCGATGACCAAACTCAGGGATTCTCGGCTTCGGAGACGCTCTTTCTTCGACGCCCAGATAAAGAAACGGAAACCCAGTTGCCGATTTCGCTGTTCTTTGATCACCGATGCGATGATTTTCGGCGAGAGAAACGGTACAAGCGGCTCCAAAGCGGGTTCTATCGGTTTCGCCTTAGCTAGGATACTGACGACTTCACCAGAAATACTAAAGTCTGTGTTTCCTGAGCTGCAGGAGCGATGAATCCATGGCGGCTTGGAAGAGAACTGAGCGACTGAACGAAGGAACATGTGCTGCAATCTCATTTCAGATGCCAACTGAACGAGAAATCGAATGTCATTGTTGGGGATTTCATAGATCCATAAACTGGGATTCTGTATGGGTTTTGAAACCTGATAGATGCAAAACACCAGTTCTTGGTTGAGACGAGCAGAGATGCAAAATTGCAGCCTTCATCGCCTGTTTGGTAGCCGAGAAAGCAACGAAGAATAAAAAGCCCAGAAATGATACAAGAATCTGAAGGGTCGGAGGTTTCGACGATTTCTCCGTCTAGGACTGTTGCTCGATTCGATCGGAAGCTGCCACCGAGAAAGGAGATGGCGTGGCGGCAGACTACTCCGGACCAGGGTTTTTGGCCATTAGAATTTTGAGAACGGAACAAAACTATACCGGTGAACCGGTCGAGAACGCCGAGTTAAAAAGCTCCATCCCAGTTCAATACCGGCCGGTCTGGTATGCAGGAAAAACCGGTTTATCATTGAGAGCACATCAGACCTGAAAGGGCAATTTAGTTAGTAATCGGATAATTGAATTGATCTAAACCGAATAATATAACTTAATCAAATCTGATATAAAAACCGAACCGATTATAATTTTCTAAAACCAAAAAATTAAATCGTCGAACCGAATCAAAATAAAGATCACGGGTTCGATTTCGACCCTAAAGTAAGGTTTGTCTACAGTAAATTTTTGTGATAGAATCATTTTTTTAGATTCGGAGACACGGTGCACCGGTTTGTTCTGCCAATGTTCTACCAAGAATATCTTTATAAACTTCTAATATTTACAAAATATACTTTTCACCGAATAGATTTTCCACGTCGATGCATGTTTTCCCGGACAAAAGAGTCTCTTCCGTACGAAACAATTCCATCCGGAAGAATTTCCAAGACGAAACATACCCTACCGAACGAAACAGCTTTGGAAGGGTCTCCCGACCGAACAAAATAAGATCTGAAAATTCTTCCGAATGAAACCGTTTCGTTCGAAAAATTCTTCTTCAAGAGACTGGATGGCAATATTGATAATTAAACAATAAACTGAAGAATATTTTTGTCGAATTTCAAACCAAAATATAGTTTGCAAAGGAAAAAATATATATACTTTTCCAACCCCTCTCTCTCCAAATTTGTGCCAATTTCCTCTTTTCACTATACCATTCATTATTATCATTATAGAGGGAGAGAGAGAAAGAGGATGATCAGCCATGGCCAAGGGCGAGGACACCAGGGAGTTGCTTGCCTCCGGTGGAGATATATCATATATGGCTCATCCTCTCGGCCAATCCCCCCAAGCCGCCGCCTCCTATTATCGTCGTCACCCCCTCCCCTCTCAGCTCCGCCAGCTTCTTGGCAGTGACCTTTGTGCCTTGCGGAAGGTGAAGATCAACCTTCTCCGAATCCGAAACTCGCTCGTCCTTTGTCCGTGTTGCTAAATTATCAGTTGGGCTCGAGTCGCCACTCTCAAGGTTCCATTCGAACAGATCGAATTCAGACAGTCAGTTATACGTGAATCACGCTCTGATACGAGGAGATGATGACAATTTTCGTTTATTCCAAAGGGGTAAAAGAAGAAACAAAAGAGAAGGTGAAAAAGGATCAAATGACTTTCACCCTCCTCTGATCCCCAAAAACAACAACAAACAAACTGTGGAAACGAAAACAGCAAACTATATAAAGAAAAGAATGGAAATTGATATTGCCTTTCCTTTCGCACTGCACATGAGAAGAAGAAGATTTTAAAAAAAGGAACCCTTCTTGTTTATTCTGTGCAGTGTGTGTAAGGTTTTGTTATTTGGAAGGAGCCTTGTGGGCGTGTGATGATTTAGGTTGCCTGGACGACATAACGCGTAAACGGGCAGCAATCTCGGAGAAGGAAGGCCGGGCGGAGGGGTTCGGAGCCCAACACTCTTCCATCAGCTTCCTCCATTCCCCGTCACAGTAACTCGGTACCGTTGGCCTCAGTGTGTTGTTCACTATCCCTCCTGCTCATTGTATATCGCCATTCCACCCACACACAAAAAAAATGACAGTTAATTGACTTATTACTACTAGTAGTAAGTAGTAGTGCAAAAGATTCTGATACAAGGATTGTTCTTACTACTTAATGAAATATCAGTTTCTATCATATTCCTAGATTGATTTTTTTTGGGGGGGCGGGGTTGGAGTAGTGATTTGAATCAATGAGCACAGCATTCTGATGTTCATGGTTAGATTTCAGAACTGAGAAGAGAAGAGGGTGTCAGTTTAAAAATAGAAAAGAACGCACCTATAATGGCACCATAGTGCATGTTGGCGTATGGTTCCTCACCAGTCAAAATCTCCCACAAGACAATACCAAATGAGAATACATCGACCTGCATGACAGCGCCCCCCACAAATGTTTGTAATAAGATGATATATATATATATATATATATATTATATATATATATATAAACCCATCACAGTTCAGATTTACTGTTTGTTTTTCAATCCTGAATGAATTCCTTCTGTGTCAAACCCAGTTAAAGTTTTACTGAAATGTGCTCAAGAGGCGGCACTCTTTATGAAGAAAATCTTTCAAAGTATATCTACTGAGATTATTATTATTATATATGATGAATCAATAACACCCGTCTTTTTACCTTTTCTGATACTTTGTTGCTGCTTCCATTCAGAAGCTCCGGTGCCATCCATGGCAGGGTTCCACGTACACCCCCAGATACCAACGTGTTTCTCTTGATTTTTGACAATCCAAAGTCACCAACCTAAGAGGAATAAAATGCAAAAGATGGCATATATAAAAGAAAAAAGACTATCGATGAATCTGTCTGTGTACGGGTAAAAAAAAGTGCCACTAACCTTGCATATTGGGCGAGAAGGATCTGTCAAGTTCACGAGTAAATTGTCGCATTTCAAATCAAAGTGAACAATGTTCTTCGAGTGTAAGTATTCCATCCCAAATGCAGCATCCATCGCGATAATCAGTTTCTTTCGGCGGTCAAGGTACCTAAAATCAAACACCCAACGAAAAATAAAGTCTCTGGATACATGAAAGCGATACCATCAAATACAAAAAAAAATTACCTATCTTTCCGGACCAAAACATGCCTCAAAGAGCCATCAACCATGTATTCTGTCACAGTAGCCAATGTTCCCCCAGGTCCATCTTGCACGACACCATAAAACGCCACCACATTCGGATGATGAAGCTTCGAAAGAATGTCAGCCTCCCGCCAAAATTCAACAGTCTATGCCAAGACAGTATTATTAAGTGATTCAGTATCCAATGACAAATAATCGAAAGTATAACAGTTCTGCAGTGCTACACAATCTGCACATTGTTTTGACATGCTCAAAATATATACACATTTCGTCGAAGAAGAAGAAAAAAACAGAACATGATAAGAAGCATTTACCAATCTCTCTTGCTCAGATGATCGTCCAGCAAAGCAACTCTTTTTAATCCTCTTGATGGCAACGTCAGATCCTCTCCATTTTCCATGATACACGGTGCCGAAAGTGCCAGAACCAAGCTCTTTCAACTCTTCAAGGTCATCATTCATTATAATCTAGTGACATTTTAGAACAGCACAACCCAGATCGATTTAGCTTCTCCCTTGATCATGAGCAGATATGGATAAATGCTGAAAATTCATATGCAAAAACAATAACAAATGTGTTGGATTTTTCAGAATAATCGTACCTGCAAGGTACTGATATCAAAGTCCACCAGAGATGGGTCTAAAGGAGGAAGGCCAACGTGCCTAGATTCTGTCTTTCCATCCTACAAACAAACAAACAAACATGCTCGTTAATGAAGCTCATGGCATTATGATTCCAGAATCAGAAATGCAACAAACTGATACCTGTTGTTCGAAACCTGATGTTATGAGATTCTCCACCATATTGCTGAACTCCTCACTCTCTGTGACCTTCATCTGTTCATCCTCATGATCAGGGCCACCCCTTACAGAACAATCGTCCCCACAATCTTGACCTAAATTCATCGGTGAATCTGCATGATTTGTTGAAATGCTATCCGCGGTCACTGGCATTATGTGGTGTAACCTAGAGACATCTCCGCCGTCTTTAAGTTCAGATGGGAAGACAGGAACAGGACCAGTTTGGTCAATGTAAGAACCATCTCCTTGGCCAAACTGCTCCTCTGCCAGATTCTGAAAATACGACCAATTTTTAGGATCACGATTCTCCACGTTTAAGCTTAAACCAGGTCCATCATGCTGATATTGACGGCCACCGGCTGTCTCCTCAGAGAGTGCCTTTGAGAATATTTCAGAAAGGAAGTCACGTGGGAATCGATCATTGATGTCAATAAGAATATCTCCCTGCTGTGACGGAGGCACACCCGAAGAAGCTTGCTCCTGAGGAATAACATAATCCACAACTGAGTCTACATGGCTCATACTGGATGTTTCAGTTTTATGTCTAGACTCGGAGTCCAAGGCTTCATTTGATGGCCTTACTATCTCAGAAATTGTGTCAACATCACTATGCATCTGATGGATCCCATCATTGGCAATTTGAGAATCTTCGCCTGATTTACCCATTGACTCTTTTGCTGGGTCTTGCTGCCCAACATTCAAATGTGAATGGGACATTAGAAACTGAGAACCTAAAGAATCATCGGACTTAGACAAGCGATTCAGCAATTCTAATTGTTCACGAGGTATTCTCTCCGAACGGTATACCCTCTGTATGGGTTGTACAGGCTCCGGATAGTTAAGGTCGATCAAATTTGAGTCAGAGTCGACATGAGCTGGACCGCAGGCACTACTTGATGTTGAAAGCTGATCGTCATCACCAGATGCAGGAGGAACCTGGCCAGCGATCACAGCATCACGGTAGGTAGCAGGCTTCACAGGAGTGTTCTGACGTGTATCTCTTCTTGGGGGCAGTAAACGCGCATCTTGGTTAGGACCGTTAGGCACGGGTCTAGCAGCTGATGCCTCCCGAATTTGATTGCGATTCTTTGCCTCGACATCATCCACTTGAGGAGAATTCTGGTGATCCCTTCCCAAAAGGTGAGGGTTTTCAGGCTCTACAACTTCATGAGTATTTTTCGTATCAGGTCTCAGGTTCAATTCCTTCACCAGCACTGGTGCACTTTGAGGTGTGGTGTCAGGGTATGGCTGCCCATCAGTCCAGCCACCCTGCTGATTAATAACCCCATGGAAAGGCATAGAACTGGGAATTAACCCAACAGTAGAATAATCTGAAGAACTCTGATGATGAGGTACTGAAAACTGCTCCCTTTCTCCATGTTGAACTACATGCCCATAGAAGGGCTGATATATTCCATAGGAACTAGACGAGCTCGGCAGGATGGATTGAGGATATTGGAGAGACGAACTTGGCAGAATAGATTGGGGATACTGAAGAGAGGGACTTGGCGGAATGGACTGGGAATACTGAAGAGTGGAACTTGGAGGAATGGATTGTTGATACTCAAGTGCTGTATTTGGTGGAATAGATTGAGAATAGTGAAGCGAGGAGCTTGGAGGAATAGACTGAGAATATTGCATAGAGGATGGCTGGAAACTGGCACCGGTTAACTGCAGAGCCGGAACTCCAACTATGTTTCCAGCAACACCATTGGTTTCCTCGGAGTGCCTTGCATCCAACTCGGATAAATTGTTTGCAGAAGAACCTTCCAACCCGTGAAGCATTGAGTTCCTTCTCGATTCCATGTCCATGCCATTTACAGCTACAACATATTGAAACTCAGAGTCACGACCACTTCTGTTAATCCCACAGCTAGCATCGTCCAAATCACTAATGGAGAACAGAAACATTCTAAGCTTTTGGGAACCCCCTTGGTTTTCCATCTCGCTGCCCTCCTCTATCATATTCTGGAGATCCTCATCACAAGATACAGACACCAAAGCGTCAAGATCTTCACCAGGAAGCTGATACTTTATAACACAAGCTTGATCGTAGATTTCAAGAATTTTCTGCTTGAGCTCCTGCCAAGATATGTCCTTTCTTATGGAAATGATATGTGTCTCACCTCCAACATATCTAAGCTTTGAATCGCCTGGACGTGGAAGTATTTTCCCACCAAAGCTGCAAAGGACCTTCATCTTTGACGTTAAACTACCCGAGGCTGAAGAAGAGACATTCCCATGTAAGTTTCCTTGGCTACTATCTCTACGTAATGAAGCTTGTGGCACTGGCTGGAGATGCCCGAGTCTATTCCCCGACCCATGAAAGGTAGATTGCGTTCTCTCATACTCTCTCATTCCATTCTCCACCATGCTCAACCTTGAAACATCTGAACCACACTCAGATCCTGTGTGGCTGATCCCCAGAATGCCTTTTAGCTCCATATAACCTGTGGTATAATTTATGTCACCAGCTGCAGGGGCATTCCGATTTACCCGGTCACGCATAAATTCAAGGGCAAATTCCTCCCCTGTTTGGATGGAAAAGTTAAGTCCCGGCTTGGCATCAGAAACATTAGAATTGGAAGGTCGCGCATATGCATTCATGCTGCTCATTTGATCAGGCATAAATCCCTGAGAGACAGACTCATTTCCATACCCTGGTTCCATGGGAGAGTGCTGGAATAGTTGATGTGATCCGGGTTTATCCATCACAGCAACAAAGTCCTTCAACTCAATCTAAACAGACATAACCCGCTAGTCCGACATACTTAAACTAGAGAACCAATATGAAAAGCAGAAAACTTTGAGGCAGCAAGTTGCTTCGATACTCCTTTAAGAAGAAACTGCACACGACAAAAAACTAAGCTGTCATAAAATAAATGAAGAGAAAGAACATATGATTCAGCTCCATGGGAACACCAAACAAAATATGCAGCCAGAGAGAATCAAACTGGCACGAAATCCGCAATTCTTCACTCTTTGACAAGAACAGAATAACCATTCCACGAATTCATCTGATCTTGTACCCATATAGGCCATTTTCTAAAGAAATCAGAGCTAAAACTTCAAAATATATTCCATCATGTGCTACAGAACGAAAAGTCGGGACATTTTCCAGTCACCTGCCTCCGAAAACCAAAACCACCACCTTTATTTCAACTAATCCAAAACCTAAACTTAAACAATTGAAAAAAAAAAACTACAGTAATCAAAAACCCAAAGCCCTAACTCAATCAATATGAACATTCAATCATCTCACATCGATACAAATGCCTTCAAATCAAAGCAAAATGCTTGAGGAAATTCAAGGAGCGGAATAGGACAGGAGCATACCAGCAAGAGAGATGAAAGTTTTATGCGGATCTTCAACGAAGTGCGATTAAGAAGGATTAAGCGAGCTAGCATTCATTTTACTCGAAGACATCCCTCTGCTCAAGCTCAATCTGTATCCAGTGGACGAAGAAGAATACATCGAAACCCTAATTTTCTCTCACTTTCTCTCGTTTTCCCAATCTTCTGGCTCTGCCCCACCCTTCCTTCCTAAAACATGGAACTCCTTTTCAAGACAGGAAGAGTGACAAAATCACCAAAACTGTCGGCTATATATTGAGATTAAAAACAATACATACATGTATATAGATTCATATATATGTGTGAAAAATATGAAAAAAAAAAAATTTAACAAGGTCAAAGCAGAGAAGAAAAAGTTTTAAATTTACTAAACAAACCCTTAATTTTTAATTATTTAGGATTTGTTTGTATTTGTTGACCCTGCCCGAGACAATCTAGATTCTTCATGTGAGAATTAGATTCGAGAAACGATCTGGCGCTTCGCACTATACGGATCAGAAAAATCTTAGCCGTTGATTTTCGGATAAAAGGACGTTAGTCTAAAATAGATGGTCAAGATGAAACGATATATTCGGAACAAGATCAGTAGGGTACGTGGGAAAGTATGGTATTGGAGTCATTAGCTTATGAATTACGGTTTGCATTAATGGCTAAGATTCTTTTTTAATGTGATAAATATAAGAACGTGAGGAAAGGTTTCAAATCCATAAAAAATGGTATCTTTTAATGTGATAAAATATTATTATAATGCATATATCGCATCCAATTTTTTTTATTCGACCGTACATATAACAATCATGTGAATAATTCCTTAATGTAGGGTTTCCCATCGTACTTTTTTTATAAATCAAAAGTTGATGTGTCTAATTATACACCATATAAGCTTTGGTAGGTTTTATAAATACAGTTGCGAAATGGTAAGCATTTTCTAACAAATGCTTTTTTTGTTTATTTCATTTCATTGTAGGATATTTAATTTATTTAATTCACAAAACTCAACTAACAAATAAACGTTTCATCATATTTATATTTTATAATATGATATAAAAACATATTACAAGATAATAGTTAACGTTTTCAAAATTACCCTCTCATATGTACTGTAAATTGATCAGAAAATATTTGTTATATTCATTTTGGGATTAGTAGTAATACAAACATATAATTTATATAATGTTATAATAAATATTTTTTAATAAATTTATATAATTTTTTAATATCCTCTAATTTATTTCGTAATTATCGTTGAGAATATTAATGTCCAAATGTTTTCAATATATATTTATTGAATTCTATGTCCAATTGTATATACCCTCTCATGTGTGTTTGTGTATAGAGAGAGAGTTCTTTATTTGATTTTTTTTTTTAGAAAATGATTTTCTAACGTTCAAACCCATAATGGTCGGTCCATGGCGGTCACCTCCCGTTTATTTCACGCCAAATACTTCATTTACTTTTTAGACACTTTCTAATTCATGGTTGACATAAATTAGTTCCAAAATATTTAAACATTCACTTCCACGAGGGATATTAATATTAGGTTATACTACTGGGCCAAATAATCTAAGAAATTTTATTCGAATTATTTAAATATTTTTATATATCATCTCAAGTAAGTAAAAATGCATATTCTATTTTCGATTGAATTTATCTTTTATGAAAAATATTTGATTTCCAATAACATTCTCATTTATAATTGTATTCAAATGATGTTTACGTTCAATTTATTATATATTTTCATAGTATACATTTTTAAAAATAGTTTTATATAGGTTAACGTAAAGACAATTTTTATGAATTCAATAGTCAGAGAAAAAAAAAGGTTTGGAAGATGTGTGTAGAGTAATGAGGTCGGCGGCCGCTATCGGCCAGAAATCGAGGTATTGCTTCCAGCGTCGTGACGACTATCTGGACCAACAAAAACAGGACTTATCCATATAAATATATGCACGCCATAAAATAAAAACAGAATAATATTATACCATACGAATTGCGTCATTTCAAAATACAAAATTTAAATAATCATCTCATATATATATATATATATGGTATTTGATATACAGTAATACATATAAAGACATCCAAAAAAAGGCAAAGAAAATAAAACGACCACGGTGGGACTCGAACCCACAATCTCCCGCTCCGGAGGCGAGCGCCTTATCCATTAGGCCACGCGGTCTTGCTTGTTTAACATTTTTAACATATTTTGTTGTACGCAGTTTAATGCTATTTAATAAGCATCCAAACCGATCATTTTATCCGCATACCAACAGCAAAAAATAGTTTAATCATGTTAGACTAAGAAGTTTTCTACTGAAAATAAGAAATGTGAGTTTTATAAACTTTCTTTTGTAGAAAAAGAATAATCAAATGATAGTTTTAACCGATTTTGTAATAGAAAAATAAAAAAAAAATAATATTCAAGTGTTTATTAACATTAACCCATTTCGGTATGTAATACCCTCATTTTTTTAAATAAAAAAACATATATAATAAAAAATAGACACGATTGAACTATCGTGTAACATGATCTATCGATCGTGTGTTAGGTGCAAAATCATTATAAACAGCCGAAAATCGAGTCGTTGTCAAAGGTCGTTCACGCACCAACACGACAAGTTTCTCCGTTCTCCACTCAACCCATCCTTAAATCACGCTCACGACGGAAGAGAGAAAAAAGACAGACAGAGAGAGAACATAAGAGAGACAGAGAGAGAGCGTGTGAGAGAGTGAAGAAGACAAAAGAGGAGATACCGGCGAAACCGCGCGTGACCTTGAGCAACGTCCGTAACACGGACGCGAAGAGGATCACGTGCGATACTCGGACGATTGACACGCAGAGGAAAGCTCACCGAAAAACGATCGAGAACGAATGGTCTAAAGGTGAGGAATTAGGGGTTCTTTGGAAAATTCGTTTTCCATTGTTTTAATTCTAATGACATCGATTAGTGTATCTTTACTTAATATCTGTGTAGAAAGTTTGATAGAGTTTGGATGAGAATCGGAGTTGTTCGAGTTCATAAACCAGACGATTGAAAAATATAAACGACGATCGCGCAATCGTAGAAAGTGCGTGTAAAAATAAGAGACCATATCCCAGGATTTTGGTATGATGTTTTACTATTTCAGATATGTAATTGATTTTATATTAAACTATATATTTTTCGGTGCGAACTCTTTTAAAAATATGATATAAGATATTATCTTTTTATTAGAATATCCATGTGGTACATTTGTATTCACATGATATAATTTACGGGTCATACGGTTTTTGTGAAACTCTCTTAAAATGTAAAAATTATTTACGAAAATGAGTTCTCTAAGGTTTTCTCAAAACAAAGGTGAATGAGGGCAATCTAAAGGATACAAAAGAGGAGTTCACCGTGATAGGACGGCCCAATGACACAGGATTCTTCGTGGTCCAAACTGTAAATAAGTAAGAATAACGGGTGCTTTTTCTAATATACAAAATATCGACTTGTCCTGCCTCGTAAACGTCGTCGTTTTCCTTGTTCTGTTCATTTTTTTTCTCTTTCGACCCATTCTGCAAGAAACCTTGAGCCATTTCTGCAGTTCGTCCATCTCTCTCTCTCTCATTGCGTTCGTCTGTTGTTCGATCTCGATATTACTGGTAAGATATTATATCTGGATTTATATGCAACGATTAGATGAAATGGAGCTTTTTTTTTGCTCAATCTAATTAAAAGAAGGATATTTCTTTCGTTGAAAGTTGCCGATTCGCTTCTCCGATTCTGAAATAGGGTTGACCGTTGCGTTCAAGCAGCATTGTGAGTCGATTCGCTTTCGTATCTTGTTCGGATTCTAACTGCGTTTTCACCTGTTTCACACATTGTCCTTGATTCTCTCGTCGTTTTATGTCGGGGGTTTGCCAGATTTAATTGTTCCGATATACTTGTTTTTATCATACTATCGTTTTAATAAGTTAGCCTATGAAACGGGATTTGTTAAAAAAAAATTGAAAATTGGAAGCGAGCTTGTTCTTTGTTGGGTATGTTCACTTAGCAGTTTCATCACTTCCATGATTTCGTTTTCCCTAGTTTGTTTAAGAAATTAACATCACTTAGTTTTTCTTAGATAATGAAATTTATAAAATGATGGTGTTTCACGAGTTCTCAGTTCGTTCCGGATTCGTTTAAGGTGCCATCACTGCCATGGGGGACAGTCAGTACTCGTTTTCGCTCACCACTTTCAGGTATCAACTTTCCGATCATCAAAGGGCACACCTTTTAAGCATTTCGGTTTCGTATATTTTTCGGGGGGCTAATCTGTGCCCGTGTTGTGGCGATGGGACAGTCCATCAGGAAAGCTGGTTCAGATAGAACATGCCCTAACAGCTGTTGGGTCTGGCCAAACATCCTTGGGAATCAAAGGTTTGTCAGTGATCTATGAGTAAAGAAATAAAAAGTATATGGATCTTTCTGTCATTTGTTTTCGCTGTTCTAAATTGTGACTGTGATATCTTGCTGCAGCTGCCAATGGAGTCGTCATTGCAACAGAGAAGAAGCTGCCGTCAATTTTGGTTGACGAAGCATCTGTAAGTAGATAACCCTACCTCTCCTTCTTCATGTCTGCTTATGCTGTAGCTAAAATGGTTGGCTATTATGTGTGCTGTAGAATTTTATATTCCCTCAGAGAAGACAGTGATCTGAATTGCTTTTTTTTTTCCCTAATAAATAAGATCATCATATCACTGTTCTTTATCCTTGGTTGTGGTGCTTCCTAGGCTGCATTTTTGGAGAATTTGCATGGAATCAATTTGTCTCCTTTCTCTGTTTCAGGTTCAAAAGATTCAGCATTTGACTCCCAACATTGGAGTTGTCTACAGGTTTTTCTCTTCCACTACCTGTGAATGTTGTTTGGTAGTGTACTCCCTGTTAAAGCTTGAAAAATGGTGACTGAAGAATTCAAGACAAGAATTTTATCATGTGCCCTTTAAAATTCGTGGGCACTTATTACGGCTTACAGGGAGCTGCTGTTGTGAACAAGTTCCTTTTTTAGCTCTAGCTACCTTCATTCAATGCTAACATTTCATGTTTCCTTCACTGAAGTGGCATGGGTCCCGATTTTCGAGTTCTGGTTCGGAAGAGTAGGAAGCAGGCTGAGCAGTATCTCCGCTTGTATAAAGTAATCTTATAATCACTCTCCCTTAGCATCCATGCATTTTGATCTGTAGGATGTCCTGGGTTACTCTTGTATAGGTGACTTCAAACTTCTCTGTTTTGCAGAATACTAAATGATGTTTCCATTTGGTTTGTCTTGTTTGCTTGTTTGCTCAATACTTTTAGTTGTTGAGATAATTCAAATGATTTTGCATGTAATGAGATTTGACCATTTACAGGAGCCCATCCCTGTTACCCAACTCGTAAGGGAAACTGCAACGGTAATGCAGGAATTTACTCAATCGGGGTAATACAACGTCTGGCATAAACCTAAATGCTTGTTCATTTCTTTTATATTGTTTCTCACTCCACTATTCCCCATTGGTCGAAATTGTTTTTGACCGGTTAAAGATGCACTTTATACTGGTTACAATTGCGTTGGCATGAAAATACATGGTTTCAGAAAGTCTATTATTCATAACATAGATTGCTGATTCTTGCTTCTAATTTTTTCTCCTTGTGTATAGTGGTGTTAGACCTTTTGGGGTTTCTCTACTGGTGGCTGGCTATGACGACAAGGGTCCACAACTGTATCAGGTAAGTTACACAAGTTTCCTCTCGGTTTTGTGCACTTTTTCCATAGTGATAGGAAAGAAAACATTTTAAGAAACCACTTGATAGTTTTATCTTCTTCACTATACTGTATCAATATATTTACATGGTTTTAGTTAAGGTTAGAAATAAAAAACAAACCCTAGAATTTTATCAGAGTCTTTTAACTTCCACATTTTAAATCACATGGCATTCTGCGTTTCACTAGGTGGATCCATCCGGCTCTTATTTCTCCTGGAAAGCCTCAGCAATGGGTAAAAACGTCTCCAATGCAAAGACATTTCTTGAGAAGAGGTATATATCATTTTACTTTTTCTGTGGCATGATGTATGTATCATTCAACCGAAGCATGTCTTGTCATCTTAGTCTGATAAATTGATAATCCTGCATTATCAATCGAGTACATACATGGAACTTGGGGGAAAAAATCCTACATATCTCATGCAATTGATGTTGATATGTCATGGCATTGTTAAACGGAGTGTGTTTGTACATGTAACTTGCTGATGATATGAGCTCTTGGATGTTTCTCGAGTTTACCTTTTTGTAATTCTTCCGAGAGAATTTGTACGTGGTCAGCAGTCTATTGTTCTTTCAGATTAGAATCTCGAAACAATCATCTGGTCCAGGCCAAGTCTACTCGAATAAGCTTGTGTGTTGAAAAGGGCAATAACGACATGGAAAACTTGAAGATTCTGTAATTGAGTGACATTTTGCATGTCTTGTAGTGATAATGATTTAAATGTAAATTTGGATGGAGTTTAAAGAAGCTGATGTTATTTTGGAGGATTCCTTGCAGGTACACAGAAGACATGGAACTTGATGATGCGATTCACACTGCAATATTGACTTTGAAGGAAGGGTGAGAATTTTCATTTGGTTTTGTCATCGTGTTCAACGATTACCCAATCTCATTGGTTTTTGGAATTATTTTAGCGAGATATCATATATAAAAGCACTTGAATTAACTCTTTTAAGTGACTGACTAGTGATGAAGAGATACATACACATTACACAACATCCGTGATTTTATAATTGGCCTCTAGTTTTCTTTGGTTTTTAATCGTTTTTTTTATTTATTTGAACGTTCTGTAGTTTCGAGGGAGAGATTTCGAGCAAAAACATTGAGATTGGCAAAATCGGAGCAGACAAAGTTTTCAGGTACCATATTCTTTGGCAATTCGATTACATGTATCATTGGCTGCAACTTACAAAAGAGAGCGCCACTATTCCTCTGGTGCCGGAATTTGATGAAGTTGGCGGGTTCTTGGAAATATGCAGGGTGCTAACGCCAGCAGAAATCGACGATTACTTGGCTGAAGTTGAGTAACTTTCACATAGTTTAGGAATGTCGAACTTGTGTTGTGCACTTTTGGCTGGGAAAACGGGATTTGAATCTGAATACCATCAAATTTTCTGGAGTTTATTCGGCAGCTGGAATCAGAGTTGTGTAAAACTATCATCCTTTTTATGAAGGGTTTCACTGTACTCTAATGTTGCAGAGCTTCACTCCCATCATTCAAGAACCCTAAATCAGTTCTCTGTCTTTTCAGTCATTTGGGTTTTCTGGGAATTTTTACAGGCCTCTCTGAAACTCTCCCGTCAGAGTTTTATAAACCTATTTCAGACATGTTTGATATCAAAGACCTATGAATGCCAGGGATGGAGACGGCATCCGAACCTACGAAGGATCTGATGCTACTTGTTACGAGATATGGTAAAAAGCTGGGTAAGCTTATAAGAGTTCATCACCAATAATCATTGCAAGAACAGTCACCACCATGAAAATGGTGAAACCTATACGGATCTCTCAACAAGATTTTCCTCCCAAAGACTCTGCTTACGAATTTATAGACAGAGTGACAGTCTCTGCATACCCGAAGGTTCTTGAAGATCCTCAGCGTCGAACCATTCGGAGCATTAGTCAATGCGTAAGCGAGTGCGAGCCTTTCGCTATGGTTCCATAGATTATGTTCCTTCTGTTCTTCATCTGTGTCTTGTAAGGCATCGCTTGTGTCCGCAACATAACCAGCCTCTCTGATCATCTTCTTGATTTCCTCTAACTTCATTTCAATCTGATTCTCCTCCCTTGCCTGAATATTGGTTCCGTCTCCAATGCCGAATGACATCACCTTGTCTTTCAGTTTCACCCAACTGCAAGCAGGTTTCTTCTTTATTTTCCTTGAGCCCATTTGCCTTCTAACCTTCTCTGCTTCCTCCCATCTACCCGTTGTTGCAAACATATTTGATGACAGGACGTATACCGAATCGTCTTCGGGTTCCAGCCTCAAGAGATTCTCGGCAGCTTTCCTCCCTAGTTCCAAATCCCCGTGGATTTTGCAAGAAGCGAGCAAACTTCGCCATACCAGGTTGTTTGGCTTCATGGGCATCTGAGAAATAAAGGCTTCAGCCTCGGCTAGTCTCCCTGATCTTCCAAGGAGATCGATTACGCATACACAATGTTCTATTGCTGGAGCTACACCGAATTCCCTAGTCATCATATCGTAGAACGCAAGGCCTTCGTCTACTAGTCCCCTGTGGCTGCAGGCTGAAAGGAGAGATACAAATGTGATGTGACCAGGCTTGATTCCCTTTTCGAGCATTTCACGGAAAGTTTCACGAGCTTCCTCGAATAAACCGTGCCTGGCAAAAGCCGATATACGTATGTTCCATGTCGGGAGTGATTGATTGGCCGTTGGAGGAAGCATTTTCAACACATCGTGTATTTCCCCGCACTTGTTATACATATCCGCAGTTGCAATAACGATATAATAATCCTGTCCAAACCCGAGTTTTATGGCTAACCCGTGAAGTTGTTGACCCTCTTCCAGTAGAGCTAGCTTCGCAGCAGCGGAAAGACCTTCTGAGAAACTGAACTGATCTAGATTCAACCCAATGCCTTTCATCTTTGCTATAAGTTTCAGTACCTCTTCTCCGAGACCATGACGTGCATTTGCGGCAATCATTGCGTTCCAGGCAACGGTTTTCTTATACTCTAACCCATCGAATATGGACCGACTCGAACTCAGATCCCCGCACTTTGCATACATAGTGATGAGTGAGTTTTGGATGTGTTCATCTGACTCGAAACCTGCAGATACTACATAAGCGTGTAAGGGCATTCCATATTCAAGCAAATCATTGGGCATCAGGCAAGAACCCAGAACGGCGATAATTGTGATGTAACTTGAGGGTATGGCTTCCTCTCGCATAGTTTGAAAAGCCTTTAACGCCTCGTCGGGTTCTTCATTCTCAGCATAACCGCCAATAAGCGCATTCCAAGCTACTTCATCTCGTCCGGGCAATTTCAGCAAGACCCATTTAGCTTCTCTCATCATGCCAGTCTTTGCGTACATGGAAACCAATGCATTTCCAACAATCTGATTGTTGAATAACCCCAAGACCATTACAAGGCCGTGAAGGATCCTGCCCTTTCCAGGAATTTCAGGACTCGAGCAAGCAGCCAATGCGCTCGTAAATGTCACATAGTTCACGGTTTTTCCTGTCCGAATCATTAGGCTGAGAGTCTGTAAAGCGTCGAGGTTCCGGCCATCCTCAGCATAACAAGCGACCAAAGAGTTCCATGAGATCAAATCTCGAGTGGGCATTTGTTGGAAAACCAACTCTGCTTCTGCTGATCTTCCAGCACCTGAATACATATCCAGAAGTGTATTGCACACACAAGAAACTGAATCAAATCCCATCTTGATCACCATGCCATGAATTCCTCGACCCCATTTCAGATGATCCACGTGACCCAAAGCTGATAACAAAGTCGACAGAGTGGTGGAGTTTACTTCATCGTGAAAATGACGCATCGAACAAAAAACCCTTAATGATTCCAGGCAAATACCATTTTGTGCATAGGCTGCAACAATGGAATTCCATGAAATCGTGTCACGTTCAGGCATGTGATCAAAGATATACCGTGCATCTTCTATATTCCCGAAACTACCAAACATAGATATAAGCGAATTCTCGACAGCAAGCTTATTCTCCAGTCCTGACTTCATCATCTGTCCAATGACTTGACTGCCCAAGAATTCACCCTTAAGCAACCCACAAGAACGGATTACCAAAGCCATGGAATTTTCATTACAGCCAACCCCTTCTCGTATCATACCTTTATAGATATCCATTACCTCGTCCGGTTCATCCATATCCTTGTAACCAACCATCAATGAAGTCCAAGACGCCACATTTCGGTCAGGCATCTCGTCAAAGAGCTTCCTTGAACAGGAGACCAATCCGTATACTCCGTAGAAATGCAACATCGCAGTACCAACGTAAACGTCGGAGAGGAAACCGCACTTAACAACAAAGCCATGGACTTGAACCCCTTCGGTGAACATAAGACCTGACCGATCACACGCTGTTACCAAACTCGAAATAAAAAACCCACTTGGCTTAACACCAAGATCGCACATCTCCCGTAAAAATTCCATTCCTTCCCGGTAAAATCGGACAACAACAAGCCCTGACATCATGGTGTTCCAAGAAGCTTCGTTTCTTTCAGCCATTTCATCAAACACGTAACGCGCAATCCCAATACGACCAAACCTCGCGTACATATGAATCAAAGTATTCGTGTACAACACACTCAGACGAACCAAACCCTTGACGCAAAGGGCATGCACGGCTCTTCCAGTGATTTCTCGGGTGATTTGAGAGAATCCCTTCTGATGGAAACACGAGATCTCCGGATTCCAGTGGTTCGAGGTCGAGAGACGGCCATTCATCGCGGGTAATGCCTCTCCTTCTTCTCCTCCTTCTTCTTCGTCTCCCTTTCGTCTCAAGCATTGTAATGTCGAGATGCGCCGTGTCCCGTAATGGTGTGATATCAGAGAACTTAGCAGACGAGAATTGCGCCTGAATATGATTGTGTGGCGCCAACTGGCCAGTCTGGCTCGTCGGATATTTCTTCGGTGACTCACCGGAATTCAACGATCACTCAGCCAAAATCTCCGAACACACTCGGACTCTTGCCAAGGCGTACGCGTACTAGCAACAAAGAAATGGCGGAGGGAAACCAGGAAAACGTTTTCTCAGGTCAAAATCCGGTTCATGATCATAACCGGGAACCATGCCAATTCCGGCTCATTTCGGGTTTGGATCCTTTTTCACGAGTTAGAAAAATATTGACTCTGAACTCGTAACCAAACGGTTAATTTTATTCGATTTAACTCGGTTTGGTTCAATTTCAATTCAGTTCGGTTCGGTTTTATCTTATTTATAACGTAACCAAACTATAAATAAATAAAGATTCTGTTTCGATTCGGTTATAATATTAAAAAAATTAATTCATTTCTAATAAAAAAATATTCAAATAAAATATAATATAAAACAATATAATAATTATTTTAACATATAAAATAATCAAGACCGTCTATTAGCAGATTCAATAGGTGCAAAGAAACAGAACCCTTTAATTTTTGGGGCCCCACATTTTAAAAAAATCTTTCTAATTATTTTTATCATTAAATATTAATAATTATAGAATTAAATATTTTAAATATAATTAGTATACAAAAAGAAATAAATATTAAATTTCAAAAATTAATTACATTTCAAATTATCAATAGAAATTCAATTTTATTTTTAAAATAAAAAATAGTTATATTTATAATAAAACCTTTAAATTTATAGATTTCTTTAAAAAAATTATTATTATTATCATTAATATATAAAAAATATTACAAAATTTATTTATTATCATTAAATATTTTTATAGAAATTAATAAATTTTAAAATAAAAAAATAATTACTAATTGATATATTATATAAATTTATAATTTTTTATATTATTAATTAAATTTAATAATAATATTTTTAAATTATTTTATATAAATTGAACAGGGCCCCGAAAAAATTTGAGACGGCCCTGAAAAATAATAAAATCTAAATTAATATTTATGTCAATATTAAGACATAAAACTGTTAAATAATAAAGACTTTTTTTCTAATGTTTATATCACAGAATTTTAAAAATAATAAAAACAATGATGAAATAAGTTAAAAAAATAATAAAACAATGATCAAATTAGAAATACACATGCATATATATATATATATATATAAATAAAGATATATAAACGGTTTGATTCGGTTCAGTTCAGATTCGATTATTTTAGATTTTGAAAATTTATAACCAAATGATTAATAAATATTAATCAGTTTATTTCGGTTTGGATTCGGTTATTTCAGATTTTAAAAAACCATAATCAATCAGTTATTTGATTCGGTTCGGATAATAACCGAAATACCTTTATTTGATTCGGTTCGGTTAATAATCAAATTAATCGAACCGAATGCCCACTTCTACTCATAGCATCTGGCTCACGAGACAAATTAGGCAACTCGTATAACAAAAAAGAATATAATATTTATTTGACTGTTATATTAAAAACACTCGATAAATAATATTTTAATACTATTAATAAAATTGAAATATTAAATCAACAAAAATAAGTGTATGGTAAAAATAATACACATAACATTTCTATTGTAACCAAACAATCAATATCCAATGAAACAATAAACACAGTTTAAAAAAATATTCTCATCGCGAAAATCTTGGGGTAAAACTTCTAAATCGCATTTCAAAAGGCTAAATTCTGATCATTTTCGTCAATCCAAACACTTAAATTAGGTCTGGTTATTCCGGATTTTGAATCGGTTTTGATTATTCTCAATTTTGATTTTTTCGATTTTATAAAATTTATATCTATTCGATTTTTATTTTAGATTGATTTCGGTTTGATTTTCGTTTGGATTCCAATTGAATCCTGTTTCTAGTAATAAAAACCATTTATTTCTATAGAAAATTTTGTTTTGTTTTGTGATTTTCATATTTTATTCGAGATTTCAATTATTATTATATTCATTTTGTAATCCATTTTTTGCTTTTAAAAAGTATTATATCATTCAATTCTTATACTGTCGACTTTAGAGACAATTACATATCATTTTATTTAGGTAATTTTTAAAAAAAAAAACAGAAGATTTGAAGGGCGCATATGAAAGGACAATACATCTAACAAATTCTGCAGCAAATATAGCTACAAACTAAACTAGGAAGATCTTTCTGGTTTCCAACACAAAACCACACTACAAGAACAGGTCTGTAGGGCTACTGCTTGATCTTCCAGTTGTGAGCTGTCCGTGGGGCGCTGGTGATTCCCTCGTAGTATCGAGGCTCGAGCCTACCCCTATTCCACGCCTTCACAAAGCCCGAAAACAGTTCCCTTGCAGATTCCGACGTAAGATCGGCAAAGTAAGTTCCCTTTTCTTCTTTCAGCCATGCCGCAAACTCGTTGTTCTTTGAGAAATAGTCCTCGCCCGAAAGCTCCGGAAAACCGCCATTTTTCTGGAGGAACATACACATACAGAGGTTTCTTTTATAATCGGAAAGCCAAGAGCGATAACGTCGTAAGCCATTCGGCAAAAAGAATCGAAAAGGACGATGATGGGTCAACTATTCTAGCTGAATCACATGGAATGATGGTAAGCAAACTATTATAAGATACGAGTCAAATGGGTAGGATAAGAGAACTCACTGCACGGGAGTCCCCTTTGCGATGTTTCTTTTTGTGTTTATCCTTCGACTTCTTCTCTGATCAGACAAAAATAACCGACAGTTTTGCCTCAGTGGAAGACATGGAGATGCTGAACTGGATGCAGTTTACCGACATATATAAGAGAAAACATGTCTTTCCTCAACTTTGGATGTCTTAAATGACAATCCCATCGAAAACAGGAATGCTGAACCACAAAAAGACAGAACAATAATCATGCCAGAGCATCATCATCTAGGAAATGAATGCAAAACTCCTTCTAGTAATACGCAAACAGGAGAGTGTTATGGGAATTTTATCCATCTCATGCCTATGAATTACGAGAATTCTACTAATACCCGTGAAACTGTAAAAAAAATCAGCATCAGCAACTGCAGGGAAAACCCAATCTTAATCAACAGCATCCCAAAAGAAACTCTTCCTTTCCTTTACTTTATATAGGCCATTTTCAAATAATCTAAACCAGCAACGGACTCACCATTCATGGAAAAAAAAAACGAGATCAGAAAACTCCAGAGCATTTGGATGAGGTTAAGATCAACTCTCTCCATCAGCAACAACATAGTAAAAACTCTGAATCATTAACTGAGCACAGGAAACGATAGTCTAGTGCTATTCTTCACCAACAAACCATACCCGAATCACGTTAAAGTTGTGAAAAAGATTGTAAAAAGAGCGCAACCGAAACAATATAATACCTTTATCAGACCGGTGCTTGAGAGATTTCCTATCCTTCCTCTTCTCCTTATCACTCCTCCTACTCTTTTCCTCATCCTTTTCACTTCCACGATGCCGCTTACCTCTCCCTCCGTCTGTTCATTCACAATTTTTGGCATACAGATCATGTAATCCATAGACTCCATGATTCCTCAAGAAACTAAAGTTCTAAACTTCTTCATTCAACCTCTATTGGGGTGTGTGTAAGATTTGCGTATCTTGTGTAGAACCACGGTAACGTGCTATGTATATCTGGTAATTATGAGCATATGTTCGTGCGTGTGTGTATATATATAGTGAGTTTGTGGACAACAACAAAGACAGAATCCTTCTTCCAATGCCCTAGTTTGTTAATCCAAATTCGAAACACGAACGGAGATTCAATCGACGCCTCCATTTACATACACGATGAAACAATAAGCAATCGCAGAAGCAGAAGTTCATATCTATTTCTAGTTAACAGGCGGAAATTAACCAGCAAAACGCAGGAAGAATCGAGATTGCCGCCCCATATTTTCTCGGGAAACAAACGGAAAAAAATATACGTACAGAGGAGAAGTGCATACCGTCGGAGGAAGCAGAATCGTCGCTCCGTTTCCTGCTTCTTCTCTTCTCCCTCGGACTCCGTTCACCTCCCATGGTTTTCCGACCGACTGCGATTTCGAGAAGGAGACAGACTCTTACGCAGACCGCCAAATCAAGCTTCCGGGTCGGGTCTCAACGCAGCAACTTCTAAAAGAGCCCAATATTTTTAAACTTTTAGGTATTGACCCCATTGTTTTATTTAACTAAATTAAATCCATGCTTTTTCATGATCCGACCAAAATTTTGGTGATTAGATTAAGATTAATTATTTTCCAGTGGAACTTAGAAATCCATTTTACAAAAATCATATTTATAATATAAATTAAACCAACATATTTTCCAAAAAATAGCAAAATACATATATTTACTTATAATTACGATACAAACACTTTTTTTTTCTCGTTCTTTTTTGAATGATTTAACCCAATGATCAAACTCTTCATAGATATTAATGTAAGAGATGGTTGGTTTTTTTTTGTTGTTGATGGAGATAGATTATCAAACCAAACCTTATACCCTTCAAAATGTTTCCTTTGATAACTTCAATGCAACACAATCTGGGTTTCATTACAACCCAATCACGTGTGTAGACTTGCACAAGTTTAAAAAAAATTAAATGTATATCATCTCTCTTTATTTTATTTTTTGTTTTGGAAAAATTACGGAAGCTGCATGTTAAATATTGTACAAGCTCCCCTTTTTTGTTTTTTTTTTTTTTTTTTTTTTTGTCTTTCTGAGTGTTTTCTGTTGATAATATGTATACCCCTACTCGATCCCTCCCTTTACAACAGAGTATATGTATTTTGAAGATATTGGACAGTAATGGAATCAGTTTCTTGATTCATTAGTGTATCATCAGTTCATAAGTTTTCAAGAGCGATGATTCTTCCTCTTCTTCTCCTGTTGTTCCTGGTTTATGCTTCTGGTTATCATCCTCTTCCAACAGAAGTTCGTTTTCAATGTACTTGAACCACTGTTTGACCTCCTCAGATTCTTCCGCCCTTGAAGCTAATAAGCTGTTACCATCTGCATCGGGTTCTTGGGATGCATCTAAACAATCTTCTAACAAGCTCCAAATGTCAGGATCTGAATCGAAAGGGATCTCCAGCATGTCTGGTTTATCCACCTCTTGAAACATGTCTGAGTTTCCGCTATAACCTTCTATGTACCCGAGCAAGCCACCCATCTGAAGATCATCTTCCGGGTTTATAACGTTGGAACCACCGGAAGAGGTTGAAGAACTTGTCAACTCACTGAGTGATGACTCGTGAGATACCTTCTCTGCCAAAGAACCTTCTGGCTCCTTCCCCCCTTCTGGTTTTTCACCAGAAACAGAGCCACCCGAACAAGATGAGGCAGATTCATCTGCGTGAAGGTCGGGTCCTGAGCTCTGAACCAATCTTTTCTTTAGATGTGTATGCCACACGTTCTTGATCTCGTTGTCTGTTCTTCCCGGCAGGTGGGAGGCAATCTTCGACCACCTGATCGAAATCGTGAAAAAGGGTTTATGTCAATTACTCAATATACGAACTTCGATCCAATCCATACGCAAAAAGGATGGTGAATTTACTTGTTCCCGAAGCTACGGTGAAGCTTGATGATGGTTTCTTCCTCCTCCGCGGTGAAGTTCCCTCGCTTCAGGTCTGGTCTCAAGTAGTTAATCCATCTTAAACGGCAACTCTTCCCACACCTCAGGAGCCCTTTCATTGGAATTACAACACAGAAAGATGAAAATCAGAAGAAAAGCAAAGCAAGCCCTCAAGAACACAGCCTCCACTTGTCTGAAAACATTCGTCCAATACTAATTAAATTAACGCAGATTGTAAAGACATTACAGAAGATCTTAATAAGAAGCTGGAGAGAGAGAGAGAGAGAGAGAAAAGCATGGATAGATACCAGCTTGTTTGGGGAGAGACCTCCAGTTCTCATGGCCATGCTTGTGAATGAAAGAGATGAGTTTCATGTCTTCCTCTGTGCTCCATGGACCTCTCTTCACTTTGGTCTTGTCACAGCACGGTGCTCTTCCCTTCCCCATCCTCTCTCTCTCTCTCTCTCCAGATCTCTCTCTCTCTCTCTTTCTCTCTGAGGAGATTCCCTTTTACCAAATCAGATTTGTCCTTCTTGACTGTGCGTGTTCATGTCTGTACGTCTGTATGTGTGTGTATATATACACACAAAGAGATAGGGGGGGAGAGATATTTTCCACGAGATGCATGCAATAAACAAAACCGCTAATAAATATGTAAAATCAGATTTGATATTTCCTTAGAAAACCATTATTGCATTTGCATATGCTACAAAAGACGAAAATCATCAATTGACAAAAAAAATGGAAATATAGAGACGAAAAGAGAAGGTGAGCAAAAAAAAAACTTATGCAAACAAATTGTTTATGCATTAAAAAAAATATTATTAAAACTTGTTTTTTAAACTTGAATATTTCATATTTATTCTTATGTTAAATCTATCTATCCATTTTCTGGGACTGCAAATATTACCAACTTTAAATAAAATTCACAAATTGTTCTAACAAACTTTATATTTACATTCATAAATTCTAAAAATATGTGTTTTTTCTTATCAAAATAAATAAATATGTCATTTGTTTCTTATCATTTTAAAATTACGTTATATTTAATTTGTATGGATTGATATATTTTCAAAAACTTGATATGTTTACGACAGAAATCATAAATACAACGGATTAGAATTTTCTTGCTCGTATTTTATTATGATTCTATTATTCATATCTTGCATAAATTGATTATAAACAATATAATATTATTGTATTAATTAACCGGAGGTAAGTGTTTCAAAGTGGATCTACCCTACGTTGAATATCGAAAATGTCAAGTAGGATAAGAAAAAAATGAATATTAAATTTAGTAAATTGCCAGAATTAATTAATATTAATCAACCCAAATCAAGAAAAAAAAAAAAAGAGAGTATGTAATTCTAAATTTTTATTTAAAGAAATGTTGCAACTTCACATAAGTCAGTCCAACAAATCATATAAACCATATATTTTGATTTGTGTTGATCGATATGTTTTTATGTTTTGGGTAGACAACATAAATACAACAAATTCGATTTACCTATCACACATTTTATCATCATCATCATTCGTATTTTACAATTATAAACAATATAATATATTATATTAAACTCGAAGTCAGAAAATGTTTCAACGTTGATCTATCCAACATAGAATATCCAAACTGTCAAACCTGTCAAATAGAGTAAAAAGTAGTTCTTTAATTTAGTCGATTCACAATATTAATTATTATTAATCAACCTAAATATAAAAAAAGGTATATAATTCCAAATTTTATATAGATTTCTGACCAGGTACGAGATTGTTCGTGGGAAAAAACTAAATCGTTCAGTGAGTTAGTTTCTGGGGCAGGCTCTTATTAGGTACAGTCTTTTGACTAAGAATCTAGTTCTGTTGCAATTAGGGCTAGGCGTTTCGGTTCGGTTCTTCGGAAAGAACCGGACCAAATCAAACCGAAAAAATGGTATTTTTCCTGACCAGAAACCGTTCTTAATTCCCGAACGGTACCATTTTTAGAGAACCGAATTTTCCCAGAACCGAACCGAACCGAACCGAACTTTAAAAATCCCGAAAAACTGAATATTTTTAAAGGAAATCTATCCTTTTTTTTTAATAAAACCCGGAATCGAACCGAACCGGTACCGAAACCGAACCAAACCGAATACAATATAAAAACCGATTGGTACCTATTTTTATAAAACCGAAAGAACCAAACCGATCCATTCCCGTCCCGAACCCGAACCGTTTTCCGAAACGTCCACCCCTAGTTTCAATGTAGTAAGTTAATTTACTACTTGATTATCCTTACAATTGATTGATTAATTAATTAGTTAATTAAGTCTCTACGGGTCAAAACATTGTCTAGTCCATATTTCCCGTGCATTACTTTACGCTTGATTAGAAGCGTTCGCCATCGTTAATCTAAACCACACATTTTATAACATAAAGTAAATTCGTTGAATTATAATGAATTATTATTATTATTACATTTGGACCGCCGTCTCGTATAAGGGAGATTACGCCAATTGGAATAGATTTGTTTATGATCTTATAATTAGCTTAACGTAACTCCAAAAAATTATGTCAACTACTTGTGTCTTTGTTCGTATACACGTACGCTTAAAAGATTTTTTTGCTAATTGTGTTTTATTATGTAGTTGCCATTTAGATATAGAGTTTTGTAATTATAATCAATAAAAGCCCGTCAGACGGATATATTATAAAATATTTTGAGTTTCTTTAAATTATAAATCAAATGCTTGTCATTTTTATCTTGAGAACATAAATATATTCAATTTTTAAATTGATTTAATAAAAATATTTAAAAGACCCAAATTTGATATAATTGATCATAAAATGCATTCCATGACTTGATTTTGAAAGTTGATTATCTATTTTATATGTAGGAAATTTTGAATTTTCGTCATATTTTAATACTATTATTTTTGGATTAAGTGCTTTTGATTATGTACAAAGTGTGTGTATATATATATGTATTCAGTTTTTATATCTTATATCGTATCTTCTTGAAAACTATTTATTTAAAAAAATAATACAGCTTTGTTATTATTTTCTTATTTTCATTTGTATTCAGTTGGATTTGGTTTCCTAACATATCATTTTGTGTTTTACAAAAAAAAAAAAAATCTTAACAATATATATATTATGAGTTTATGTACCTCTATATATTACTCTAATCGATTCGATTCAGTCTTTATCTCCTAACCGAAACATAAAATTTTTGTTTTGTTATATTTTTTTTATAGAGTTTGGGTTTTATTTTATATGAAATATATGAACGTACCAAAAGAAATTGTAGCACGTACACAGATTCATGGAACAATACAAAAAAGATATGTGAAAACGTGGACTTGCGTCTTTGACTATAAAATGTTTGGTGGGTTTGAATGTTGGTAACGTAGACACTATTATTACCAACCCACGCCAAAGCAAAGCCTCCGATACATGTAACTATGTCTCTATTTTCTCACCCACTAACCCATTTTTTTTTATTTTATATAATTGTTAATTTCCTTTTTTATTTCTCTTTTAATAATATAAGACAAATTTTATCGTCATAAAATAAAAATAATAATGCAAATTGTATCATCAAAAAAAGAAAAAAGAGAGAGAGAGAGAGAAGCCTCCGGACACATGTAGGAACTATTGCAACTATATGTCTCTAACCATTTTTTTTTTTCTCTGAATCTTATTTTTCGTATGTCATATAATTGTTTGGCTACTTTTGTCATTTCTCTTTTAATAACACAAAGAAAATTATTAAAATAAAAATAATAATGCGAATTGCATCATAAAATAGACAAACAACCTTTTTTTTATATATAGATGGGTTGTATTGTATATAAATTCCCAAATGGCAACGTTACAGAAGGATTGCAATTTTTTGTTTTGTATTATCAAAGACACTTATATGATTATTCAAGTAGTCGACCTTTTATTTTTTGGAAAAAAAATATATATATTTACAAGCATAGTTTTAAAATCATAATTTAAAAAACAAACAAAATTCAAACCATTAAACCATAATTCGTTTTTTTGGAAAATGTAAACTTTTTAAAATGTATTTTTTTTTTATCTTGTTACACTAAAAGTTGTCAAGATTCAAATCTTAGCACAAAGAAAACAACGAAAAAAAATGTGTATAAAAGGTTGTGTGAACAAAGATATCTTCAACAGTCCAAATTGACAGTGTTTAAAATTTATATGCATTGGTCAAAACATCAAACAATGATATTTCTCACCTTCATTTAAAATACATATAATTACCAATAAATTTATGGAATATTTTCTATTTTTGCCTCACGAAAAACTAAAGTAAGATAGTACTTAATATTATATTTCTTCAATTTTTTTCTTTTGTATTAGACAATCTAAATACAATGATATAGCTTGTTACTTCATTTTCATGTAGATTATATAAGTGTTATATTCACCTCGTCAGTACCATGTTTGGTGAATAATTCACGAATAAATAATATATATTTTTTATAACCAGGATGGTTTTTCGGACATTCAGTCTGACTACAACCACCCTAAACCCGGGATCAACTTTTGTATATGGACCATTTTGATCCAGAAATTAAATTCATCCCCACCAGTGGAATCGAACCTATAAACTTGAGGATACTGTTGGGTTAATAAATAATATTTTATTTCAACTTGAGTAATTAAATCGATAATAAAATGAATAGGGTTGCATGCAACATCACGACCCAACAGTTGTTGGCACAGTGGTTGAGAGTTGACAAAGTCATCCTCAAGATCCTGGATTCGATTCCACTGGTGGGGATGGATGTAATTTCTAGACTAAAATGGTCCATATACAAAGGCTGGTCTCGGGCCTAAGGTGGATGTAATCGGGGCGAAGGCCCGAAGAACCATCCTTGTTATAAAAAAAAACATCACGACCAACGAATCACCTCTTACCAAAAAAAAACATCACGACCAACGACAATTTAATATAAAGATTTCAGGAAAAAAAAAGTATAATAAAAAATATTGGAATTTCCATGATGATAGCACATGTGGTGCTAATGGTACGTATTTTAAGTCTTACGATTTGGTTCACCCGTCCATTTTCCGGATAAAAAAATATTATCATTCTGACAAAAAAAATACGTTTTATTGATAATCAAATAATATTACATCTATTTAGAGATAAAAAAAAATAAAAATTATATTGATCTTTCTTTTGTTTTTTTTACCTAAATGAATAGTGTACATCTTGTAATCAAATTTTAAAAATATGACACATATTACTTCAAGATTGTAATTAAAAAAAATCACATTTCATTTTGTTTCTAATGCAAAGAAATGTCGTTTATCTTCATGTGTCATTTTAATGTATATTTTAAGTTCTAATGAAAATAACTCACATTAGGTTTAATCTTTTTTACATGATATATATATATATATATCAGCTTAAATGACTAATCAATATATGTTAATATATTTCAAAAATAAAAACTTCAGGATATTAAAATTATCGTGCTGATTAATAATATGATTATCCATATGTTATAATAAGAAACGTAAGAAATTACCCAACATGGGTAGTTCAACCGGTGAAACGGGGGCGCAAAGCGTCTGTCC